AACTATAGTCTACACTACAGCTCTACACCGAAGCGAAGCGAGGGCGGGCCATTAGTAAGAAATACATATGGATACAGCATGCAATCAAAAGATTGCAAGGACCTCGTATTGATTTGTAAACTATGGTCACAGACCATAGTCACAGGATAATAGCCATAATTACTATCTGCGATAAATAAATCGACGTCTATGATATACTAGCTTCCACCCGCGGCCTCGTCCGTGTTATAGTTACTTTTTTGAGAAATCCAGAAGAACCTCTAATTTTTCCGGGATAAAAGTACCTATTATTTGTGTCAATATAGGTAATAACTTTATGTATATATGTCAAATTTCATCTTAATTCGTCCAACCGTGCTAGACGAGAGTTACGAACATCTGCACATGCGTACGCGCGCCATGTGATGTGAATTTAGCTCTGAGGAATGCGCTAAAAACAATGATATATCTTCTTTACTATATAAAAATAAGTCGGGTTTTCCTTTCTGACGCTATAACTCCAGAACGCACGAACCGATTTCCACGGCTTTGCTTTCGTTGGAAAGGTCTCGGGCTTCGTGAGGTTTATAGCAAAGAAAGTTCAGGAAAAATTAAAAAAATAAACTTCTTTTAATCACCAAACGAAATGTTACATAAAACGAAGCCATCTGGTGGCGAAACGGAGTTCGCCGGGTTTTCTAGTTGTTTATATAATATCATTGGCTAAAAACAAAAATTGTTTTTATTTTTATTTATTTTTCTTCCCAGCGGGTGTGAAATTCTCATGGATACAATACAAATACATTTTTTTTCTGTTAGCAGCGTACAACCACATGAGCTACGCCAAAAAAATGGTTACGTATTGTCGCATGTTGTTTGCTCTGCCTTAATCAGCCTTTGAATATTTTTAATAAGGGAGATAGCCATAAGGGGGGATGCGAAAATAAATTGGAACCACACCATCAAGTGGGGCATAGGTTTATAAATATTGTATTTTTAAACACATCAATATTGGGAACCTAACGACTGACAAGCCAGCACAGCCGTAGGACCAAAATCTGTTTATTTATTTTTATTTTTTGAATTTATTTCTTTTACTTCTCAATGCAGTAATAAGTATACCAAGTACTACATCGATAAAATAGAATTTACTTTGAGAATTCTACATTGGTATGGAACTTTGAAAGTGCAGTGTGCCACACCCACGCAGATGATCGGTATTTTTAAGAAAACATACGCAATCTGCCTACCATCGCCCTTGTATCCAAATGTACTGACATTATAAAACATCTTTATTTAAAAAAAACACACATAATAACATTTTTAAAATAAACCCATCTTTATTAATATTGCTAGGAACACAATTTACACAATTTTCTATTTAAATTACATATTATAAATATGTATCATAGTTTAGACTTATTCATTAAGGGCTTGAGGTAATTGTGGAAGCTCTGGTTGACTGGCTCCTGGTTGAGGGGACTCTTGAGGGCTTCCTCCATCAGGCGCTCGTACACGCGACCGTCGTACGAACCCAGGGTTGATTGCAAAATCTGAGAAGCAATAAAGCACATGTCAGAGTCAAAGAAGACCTTTGATTTTTGTCCAATTTTGTACCTTGGTACAAATAATCTCAAAAAACATAAAGACTTACTCGTAAAAATCTCAAACAAATTCAATAAAAATTGCCGAATATCATAATTAAATAGAAAATCTGCGTAAAGAAACATTATTAAAGGACAATGTTAAAATTGGCCTAAGAACCAACACCAATTTGGCATTTATGATAATTCTTAGTATATTTTTTGCGAAAAATTATCAGTATTTAGATTGTGACGGACACTTCCAGTTAAGTAAGCTAAATTAAAAAGTTAATAAATAATCTGAGACAATAAATACCATTTTATGTGTATAATCTATGACAGCGCTGCAAATAAAAATCACTTTCTTCCTAATGCCGGCACTTCACTTGGCTATTCTTATTTGCTATTTAGAAACATGACATCAGTCTGTCCTTTTCATTCCTTATTAAGCATGACAAGGACAAACTGTTGTCAAGTGAAGAGCCGGCATAAACTCGATACTCTGTGGTTGTGGTGCAGGCAGTTTGCATTCGTAGTAATCTGTGTCAGTCAAAAAGTACTTTTTATATACGGAAAATTCTCGTTCGGATTACCTGTTGTGTGTGTTTATTTGCGATTGTTTTTCCTTTAATTTAACTATTACTATTTCGGCTATCTAATATGCCATCGATGTTACCAAAGAGCAGATACCTTATTACCAAGTGTTAGTGAACCTGTGCCACAACATCCTGAGAGGTGTCCGTCAATAATCTTTGTTTTTACAGTCATTTACTTGTGATTTCGAACCTAGAAAATAATATTTCATGATTGTTGGTTCTTAGGCTAACTATGTATAGACGCAGAACAATGTCCTTTGACTTTGACGCAATTTGTCATTGACTGACAGATGACAGCTTATACTGATTGTCATAGCTTCATAAAGATGCATATTCACCATAATTATACAATCTGTGTTGCCATTCATTTACAGGGTTGAACGACATTTTTGTGTGGTGAAAGTGGATTATATTTTTGATGAATTTGGCGTATTTTTCTACGCATAAACGCATGATAATACTTGAGGTACATTGGCAACAGCACAAATGATATTTTTGGTATCGGAAGCGTCTATAGGCCATGGTTGCCTTACCATCAGGTTAATAATGTACCCACTGCTGACGCACAGGCCTTCCCTATGGATGGAATTGGAGGATTGGGCCGTGACCCACCACTCGGACCCAGTGCCGATCGGTAAGTGCTAACGACTGCAGATGCAGCCGGGACCAACAGCTTAACGTGCCTTCTGAAGCACGGAGGAGCTCGAGATAATAAGGTTTTGGCCACCCATCCAATGATCGACCATGGCGAAAGTTGCTTAACTTCCACGATCGCGCTACCCACCTGCACCATCGAGATCTTCAAAGTAAATAAATCTATAACTTCAAATAAAACAACTGAAAAGAATAAATGATTACCTCGTCTCTTAGGTCGAAGGCGTCTACCAAGCCGATGGTGTTCGGCCTGATGAGCTCCAGCAACTGTTCATACCTCCGTTGTAAGACACCGACATCGTTTTTGGTAATGTTAGAATACTGGAAGCCAAGCAAACAGTTATCAATAGTGAACTATTTTTAAAATTAGCATTACGCTAACATCAATTAGGCCTTGCAGCCTAAGGCTAGAGAAAAAATCGACACGGCCGTCAGGGCCGCGGTAGCATAATGTTCAGTGCATTCGCCCGGATAGCGAAGGGTGCGGTTTCGAGTCCTGGCTGATACCTGGTCCGCGTCGATTTTTTTTCTAGTAAACTTTTCTTTAGATTTACACATCTAGCAGTTAAATGCTTTAAAAAATAAAAACATAAATCAATAAGGACACTTTTCTACGTCCATGCACAATTCTGGCTTTTTAGGCTGACAGATCTTCGAATATGAAAATATTTGGGTCTTTATTATTACCATAGAGGTATAAGAATAGAGAAGGGAAGGCGGCTCTAAAAGTGTCCGTCTAGTAGAAAGAGAAAGAAGATGAGAGACGGCTAGCCTTTCTCTCTCTAATCGCGAATGCGCATTGGATGAAAAACCTACGGATGAATACCGACCAATCACACGACTGCGCAGCAATACCGACCAATCACACGACTGCGCAGCGTCACAAGAGAGAGAGAGAGCTAGCCGTCTCTCATCTTCTTTCTCTTTCTACTAAACGGACACTTCCACTTATAGTAGAGTACATATCTCCCCTACTCTATTCTTATACCTCTATGATAATTACCCAGGAACAAAAGTAAAAAAAAAATAGCAGTAGCTACCATTTCTAGAATCAGCAATAGAGCTTTTAAATCTCTCGAGGCCAGTTCATAGACTCCTAATATCTTCGTGATAAACTTTTAGCCACTTGTAGAATAATCTTTGTTGATATCGTAAATCCGAAAAGAAATTGAAACCAATCAACTGGACCTTGATGGTAAATTGAACAGCGCCACAACGGACATAATGAGAGATAAAAATCTCCCATACAAACATTTGACGCGATAGCATATTCGAATTTTAATACTTTAATAGGGTATTTGACAGTGTTAAAAATAAAGTGCCAATTGTTAGCATCTATGTTTAGAAAAAATATTAAGGCAGGGGTTTTTACTATTTTTACAAAAAAAATCATAATTTTACTAAAAACTAACGAGAAAGATAATAGTTTTCTTATCTATTGTCACGTGACCCAAAACGCTTGGGATTGGCGGAGCCTAAAATGTCGTCACATGCAAGTAAACTTCCGGTTAAAGTGACATTATATTGTATCGTTTGACGTTTTAATATCATGTGACGTCACACACTAGTAAGACGCCATATTGTCCATAGAAACGCTTTCGCGGCAACATGAAAATGGAGTTTTTGATTTGGTTATTTTTACTGAAATAAACAACAAAATGATGAATATCTACTTTTTACGGACTCCATAAACATTAGTCAATAAAGTGAGATCGTTTTCTAAAACTTGTCAAATACCCTAATCAACCTACATATAAGTCAAATGTGTACTGGTTTTGTAGCTCATATTACATCCGTTGTGGTGCTGGCTGTTCAAGTTTCAATACAAAATTTGACACTGACATTTTGCACTCGCAAACGTAACGAATTCGATATTGGTTCGTGCTAAGGGTACTGTACCCATAGAGGTATAAGAATAGAGTAGTGGAGATATAGACTCTACTACAAATGGAAATGTCCCTCTAATAGAAAGAGAAAGATGATGAGAGACCGTTAGCTTTCTCTTCTAATCGCGCATGCGCATTGGCAACCGTAAGCATCTTACTATTTCGATGTGATGCCATTAGATGCCATGCGTCACAAGAGAGAGAGATAGCTAGCGGTCTCTCATCTTCTTTCTTTTTCTACTAGACGGACACTTTTAGAGCCGCCTTCCCCACTCTATTCTTATACCTCTATGACTGTACCCCTAGCACGAACCAATATCGAATTCGTTACGTTTGCGAGTGCAAAATGTCAGTGTCAAATTTTGTATTGAAACTTGAACAGCCAGCACCACAACGGATGTAATATGAGCTACAAAACCAGTACACATTTGACAATGACATTTCGGACTCGCAAACGATACGAATTCGAACTTGGTTCGTGTTAGGGGTACTGTTCTCACTTGAAAGAAGTCCCCGCTCCTCTCTAACACCCAGTAGCTCAGGTACAATTCGGACAGCTGCTGAAGTACCACTGCCAGATTCCGGGACATCGACCTCGAATGTTTTTGGATCTCTTTCCAGAAAGTCTCGCATATGATCGCGCGGCAATAACACTGAAATATAAGAAAATTCGTTGTAATTTCCACGACGAGATGGAAGACGCACATTCAGGACCATAGCACTGACGTGGCCAAGAGGAATATACAAATTCAAAAGCGCAAAGGTCGGAACAAGTAAGAAAGATTGCGTTGATTCGTTACGGGGGGGGGGGGGGGGGGGTTGTAACATTTACATACGCCAATCGACGCATTGCAGAAGTCTGTTTCAATTGCGAGTTCACTAGCACCGGTAGGGGTGGGCGTTGTTAGAATAACGATGCGCGATAACGATGCCAGGTTTGGATACGGCGCATCCGATGCGACTGTTTAGTCGTTGACTAGTTTTTGTCAACGTTACTATAGCAACAGTGCCACAAACTTATAAACTTATCTGTGCCATAAAAATGTCACAATGCTATGGATAAATTGTATTTACAATTTTTGCCACCGGCACTGAAAAGTTTGTGATACTACGATACTGACATTTACTTGGCATCGATGCGATACATCGATTTATCTGATACCGATGCGCAAAGATTTCACAAATATCTAAAAACGCCTATCTCTAAGCACCGGTGAGTTTATACGTAGCTAGCACGCATGAGTTATAAACAAGTAGATATTTATATAGGCACTTTCACCCTTACGCCACACTGCTAACACTCATATTTGAATGGTCTGCACTCGGTCTTCATCGAGGTAGTTCACGTCGCGAGCCCCGTCTGGGTTAATCTGTCTCCAGTATGTTCGTACTTTTGGTATCAGAGCGTTCGTGACAATATGTATATGACGGGGATTGACAGGATTGCGTGTTAATAACATCGTTGTCGTTCATCGTGGGTGACAAATAATAATTAGACAGACACTTAATAATCACAGAACGCGTTTATTCAGTTATTTCATAACACACACTAAGCAATTAACTCTTAACTTAAACATTCGTACACAAAATTGATTGGACGTCGGTATTCTCGAAAAGCGCGTGAACCCCACTTCGCGACTCTATCTTTCCATTTGTTCGTTCAGTCGCTGTCGCGCTGGGCATCACCCGAATGTAGAGAATCATAATAAAGGTATACTCGACGTCCTTACACTCCGACATCAACGATATTAAATACCCTAGATACAGCACGAGCGCTCAAAATGTGTCCCAATCAAGAAGTGCTTGAACTCCACTCAAGCGCTTCTTGGTTTACAGTCACGCGCGGACCGTTACAAAGTCAAGATGCCATAGAGCTCCGTGAAAATATGCGAAAATAATACTTAGAGTACGAAAAGTTTCGTTTTTCCGACAGGTATCTAGTCAATGTTTGTTAAATTAACGTATTTGAAGTAAATTTTGATCTAATACTTACTTTAAACTGATTAAGTATAAAATATTTGTGATATTAAAATGCATGGTCGGTTATACGTCGCCATATTAACCGTCTTTTTTCCTCGCTGTCCGTGCCTGTTATATTGCTAACAGCGTGTTCAGAATTGCGCGTAAAGTCAAAGAACTAAGGTCGAAATTCTTCCGCATATAGCAATAAGTCGTATTATTTTACGAGCTTGCATTTCAAACTGTCAGAAGTCCTTGACGCATGCGTTTTATTTAAAACCTTATACAGTTTGTATTAAAGGTTACTTTCAATATTTAAATAATGCCTTATATTGATTTTGACTACGCGATCATCTTACGGAGCTCCGTGGATCGTTCAATGTACCTTTTGGACAGGTTTCGGCCACAATTTTGTTCGTGTTGGTGTATCTATGGTATTTAATATCGTTGTCGGACATATATAATATATAAGAGTCATTCGATAAATAGAGACAAAGCACATACTAAAAACTAGGTCAAGCATTTAGAAGATAGATAGTTATTTACCTCACTAGCTTTGACTAGCATCACTGACGCTGCATTCCACGCGTCCTCGTAATCTTTCCCGCTGTTCTGGTGGTACTCGATACCGTCAGCAGCTTCCTTAACTTTTCTGTGATTATAGATAGAATTATGACATTATAATTATTTCAAACTACCGACCTTCCCCATTTTGCGCATAGGGGCAATTAACCAATATTGAATTGAGAAGTGTTAATATGCGTGCAAAATCCACAAAAAAACATCCAAATGGACTAGTAATTTCTAGATGGTTTCTAGTGGATTTGCGAAACAATTTCTGTACTCAAACCTCGTTTTCACGATAACGAACATAGCTTATAAACAGTCACTGAAAACTGCTTTAACTTCTTTTCGGTTTATGAACAATATGGCCTTGTATTCGTCCAGGGAAAATTTTGTAACAAAAACGATGACTACATGAAAATTCGTTCAGTAGATTTTGAGATCTTCGCTGAAATTTATACGGACAAGATCTTTGTTTATAAAGTAGAAGATTATAAAATGCTCCGTCATACACGTGGTATATGATTCTTCTATGATTGATAGCTAATACGTACTGATGCTTGCCCAACTGCGGCTGTGTATTATTAATGCTTACCCAACTGCGACTGTGTATTACTGATGCTTACCCAACTACGACTGTGTATGATTGATGCTTACCCAACTGCAACCGCATGAAATCCTTGTATTATAGCTTCTGGTGTGTTAACCCATGCTGGTTTTGCCTTATTGTAGGTGACCATATAAGCTACAGTGGGTGTCAACACTATTCCACCTAACGCCTCCTTCCATGCCTTCATAAGGTACCTGAAATCAGAAACGAAAATAAAGGCACAACTCTTAACAACACCAATATGACTTTCCGTTTTCCTACTTTTTATTTCAATATTTCGCATCGACTAAGTGTCGAAAAGTGTCGATCGTCTTCTGCCTGTACATGAATTAAGTTTTTTTCATTAATTCATTTGATGAATAATAATAAATTACTTAATTATAAGAAACAATCATCGAGACCTTTATAAGTTTACGTCAATCGATAAAAATCTTCCTGACATAACAATTTATGTTTGTTTTTATTATACCAGTTTAATCTTTATACTGTTTATATGCATTCATTGAACCTGGATGCTTTATATATTTCGAAAATTTTCTCTTTCAAAATTTGTAGTGTTAGTATCGTCATTAAGCCCCGTATTCATGGGAAACATTTGTTGAGCAACAAAGTTGAATCAACGTGTTGCGGAGTTGCTGTCAACATGTTGCTGGCAACACTGCGTGTTGCAGAGTTGACAGCATCATGTTGACAAGCTCTCGCCCGACAAGCGTAAACATCAGTTTAGCGACAATTGTTGACGTGTGTGGACGAGTTTGCAACAGTTTATAAACATGGCAGTAGTGTGGAGCAATGATAAAATAATGCAATTAATAGAATTATTTCAATCAAAACCATTATTATGGGATTGTTCTATAAAACAATACAAAGATAGAAACAAAAAGAACGATGCATTCGAAGAAATTTCTCAAGACCTAATTATACCCAAAAAAGACGTAGAAACTAAAATACATGTACTGCGTACGTAAAAAAAACTACAGGCAGCGGCGCAATAGAAAAATGTAAATGGATTTATTACGAGCCATTGGAATTTTTGTTATGTGGTGCAACTACTTCTGGTGAAACGGATACTATGAATAAAACAGTAAGTTGTTTTTGTATATAATTGTTTTATACTATTGTCTGTAAAATTATTACAATTACGCTACATTATTTTGCCATGGAACTCTTCCCTCTGGAGTTATAAAGTAATCGGCAAACTGTTCTCTAATACAAAGAGCTGATTGTGATGCAGGCCTGCCCCGTCTTTGCAAATCAATCATAGGAAACGAACTTAGTTCCCTTCGCCAAGAACCTTCTAATAGGTTACCTTCAGAGTCTTCAAAATCAAAAGTTTGTGGAGGTGTATATATGGATCTGGAAACTGAGTTACGTCTTAAGAAGTTATGTAAATATACACAAGCAATTACCACGAGTTCACAATTGGCTGGTTTTAACGGAATAGGTTTAGTGAATACACGGAACACCACACATAAAATGCCAAAAACATTTTCTATAATCCTCCTAGCTCTTGATAGTCTGTAATTGAATATACGCTTTTTGTTCCCACGTTCATGAATGCCAGGATATGGTTTCATGATGTTCTCCGTTAGCGCGAAAGCACTGTCACCTACAATTACATACGGCATTTCTGTTCCGCCTTGTGTTATTGGTTCAGGCCGTGGCAGTTTAAGTGAGTTTTCTAACAATGCATTATAAAACGGTGTTTCTTGAAATATTCCACTGTCGGACGACCGACCCTTAGCTCCATAATTTGCGTAAATAAAGTTGTAATTGCCATCTGCAATTGCCATAAGTACCATGCTGAACTGATTTTTATAATTGTAGTATTCACTTCCAGAATTATTTGGCGCCACAATCATAACGTGTTTCCCATCAATGGCCCCAATGCAATGTGGAAAATTCCATCGTATTTCGAATTCACGACTTATTTGTTTCCATTCTTGTTCCGAACTTGGAACCTAAAAAATAAATAAATATATAATAAGATAATAATTTACAGGTCATCATCATCATTCATCATTTCAGCCGAAAGACGTCCACTGTTGGACATAGGCCTCCCCCATAGATTTCCACAACGATCGGTCCCATGCTGCCCGCATCCAGCGGCTTCCCGCGACCTTTACCAGATCGTCGGTCCACCTTGTGGGGGGCCTGCCAACACTGCGTCTCCCGGTACGCGGTCGCCACTCGAGGACCTTTCCGCCCCAACGGCCATCGGTCCTGAGAGCAATGTGCCCTGCCCATTGCCACTTAAGGTTTGCAATTCTGTGGGCTATGTCGGTGACTTTAGTTCTCTTGCGTATCTCCTCATTTCTGATTCGATCACGCAGAGAAACTCCGAGCATAGCCCTCTCCATTGCCCTTTGGGTGACTTTGAGCCTTCTTACAAGACCCATTGTAAGCGGCCACGTCTCGGTTCCGTATGTCATCACTGGCAACACGCACGAATTGAAGACTTTCGTCTTGAGGCACTGCGGTAGATGTTCCGAGAAGATGCTACGTAGCTTCCCGAACGCTGCCCAGCCGAGTTGGATTCGTCGATTAACCTCTTTCTGGAAGTTGGACTTACCCAGTTGGACTATTTGTCCCAGGTATACGTACTGGTCAACAACTTCCAGTGTAGAGCTCCCAACAGTCACTGGAGTGGGTACGACATGGGAATTCGACATGATTTTCGTCTTGTCCATGTTCATTTTGAGACCCACTTGTTGGGACACCCTACTGAGGTCGCCGAGCATTGTGCCAAGGTCATCCATGGTCTCAGCCATGACTACGATATCATCTGCAAATCGAAGGTGCGTCATGTACTCGCCGTTTATGTTGATGCCAAGTCCGCTCCAGTCCAAAAGTTTGAAAACGTCTTCCAGCGCAGCTGTAAACAGTTTCGGTGATATAACGTCACCCTGTCTTACACCACGCTGCAGCTGGATTGGCTTCGTGTTTTGGTCCTGGAGTCGAACTGACATAGTGGCGTTTTCATACAACGACTGCAACACTTCGATGTATCGATAGTCTATTTGGCACCTTTGGAGTGACCGAAGCACGGCCCATGTCTCGATCGAATCAAAGGCTTTCTCGTAGTCCACAAACGCCAAGCATAATGGCAGGTTATACTCTTCGGTCTTCTGTATAACCTGCCGCAGCGTATGGATGTGGTCTACGGTACTAAACCCTTTTCGGAATCCGGCTTGTTCGGGAGGCTGGAAGTCGTCAAACCTGCGCGCGAGACGATTCGTGAGGACTCTCGAAAACAACTTGTATACATGACTCAGGAGCGTGATGGGTCTGTAATTCTTCAATTGGGCCCTGTCTCCCTTCTTGAAGAAAAGCGCCACCACTCCCCTATGCCATGCGCTAGGCGTTTTGCCCTCGAGTATGACAGAGTTAAATAGCTTCTGAAGAGATTTCAAGACTGGTCGTCCACCTGCTTTCAGAAGCTCGGCTGTAACTCCGTCATCACCCGGCGCCTTTTTGTTTTTGAGCTGTTTCAGAGCTGCACTAATCTCGTACAGGCTGACGTCCGGGATATCTTCGGTGTAGTGTCGGGTTAATTTGGCTCTTGGGTCGGTCGCCTTTGTGACAGGTACTCGTGATGTCGCGTATAGCTGTCCGTAGAAGCTAGAGACAAGAGAGAAGCTAGAGTCCGTAGAAATTTACAGGTAGATGAAAACAATGCACTTGAAAGTGGTATGGAGTAAGAGCCATCTCAATCACCAAGGCCGAATGCTACAACATCTACATCTTCGAGGAAAAGAAATAAGACAGATGAATCAAATGAAATATTAGAGGTTTTGAAAAGTGCTAAAAAAAAGATGGATGAAAGGGAGAAGAAGGATCCATTTGATATATATGGTGAATATATTGCTGCTGAATTAAGAAGTGTTAAAGATGACCAAGCCGTGACACAGGCAAAGTACCATATTAATAATATACTGTATGAATTAAAAATGGGACGATATAATACATATGGATATCAAACGGCATCTTCTCATCCATCATCAACACCAAATAATGTTCAGGAAACTGAAATAAGGGAAATTGAGAGACACGAAACAAATAGACTAGATGCATTACGAGACGAAACAGAAGATTCGGCTATACTAAACTTAGTTAACTATCTCAGTGATGAATCAACGCAATAGCATACACTGTTTTTTTTGTGTTTTTTAATTAATAAAATACTTGATTACACAAATAGTGTTCTTGTACCTTGACATATCCTGCTAGTGAGTTAATTAGTTCTTGACATACATCTGGTATAATTTTGCTAATCAATTGTTTTGATACTCTGAATGTGTATGAAAGAGAACTGTTTGAATCTCCAGTTGCAAGATACCGTAATGTAATAGCCAGCCTCGTTTGAGGTGAAACTGGCTGACGAATATTTGTTTCCCTTTTGGCTATTGATGGACCAATCATTTCTAGAAGATGTTCGAAATCACTTTTCGACATTCTCGTAAAGTTACAAAATGATCCATCTGTCATTCTGAGGTCACTCATCAAATTTTCTCTTTGCAAAAGATAATTTCGAATCCACCATCTTTTTCTCTTTTTTTTATTAGAGATTCTATACATCTGATACAGAGAACACAACAACACTACCTCCTCGGGCAACATTTTAACGCAGACTGGCGTGTGGACAACCTGTATTGATTTAAACATAGTTGCTAGCAACATTCTCGCCGCTCACCAACAATGTTTAGCAACTGTTGCTAAACAAATGTTTACCATGAATACGGGGCTTTACGATCATCAGCCTCATTAATGTCCCCTCTGCAGTTATCTATAAAAAGTTACGATTTTTTAAGATAAACCTTTTTCATAAGTAGCTTCTATTATTTAGAACATCAAAAAAAATGTTGAATGATAAATTGTTAAATTCGTTCTCAAGTTATGCTATGACCAAGAGATCATCGATGCATTTTTAAATAAGTATGGAGTTGTTTATACGGGTCGCACTCTTGCTATGTTATAGTGAATATTTATATTTACGCTCCAGGTTATACATGAATATATACTTTTTTAAGTACAATCTCGCGGCGAAACTATGACAATTTATTTAGTGGAATACGCGGTAATCGTCTTGCGATTGGTCCAAAAGATCGCTTGTTGAGCGGCAGTGTTCGGGCGAGAAGGTAGTGCCCGTAGATTTCGCGCAAAAAATTATACAATTAGGTAACGGTAGCCCACAGCGGTTTTTACTAGAGGAGATATCAGCTTTAAAATTACTAGCACAGCAGATTCACTGCTCGAATTGGAGCACCCGTCTGGGGTAGCAATCTCCAACTTATAAACGACCACAGTAAAATAACACTTAATTTTGATAGTGTTGTGTTCCTGCTGGGGAGAAGGGATTAAGGGATTAAGTTTCAGGCCGGGAAGGTGTGGATGGCTGAAGCGGTACACTTTCTGCCGTATCATCTATCTTCGCGACTGGACTCCACTTTAAAAAAATCACATCTATATATATAAAACTTAAAGGTGACTGACTGACATATTGATCTATCAACGCACAACCGAAACCGCTGGACGTATCGGGCTGAAACTTGGCATGCAGGTAGATGTTATGGCGTAGGCATCCGCTAAGAAAGGATTTTGATCAATTCTACCCCGAAGCGAAGCGAGGGCGGGCCACTAGTGATAAACACTCACCTGGCCGTCTGCAGAAGCATCACGGTGTACTCCCCCTCGTATGTGACGGTGGCGGCGGTGGCCCCGTATATGGTGGGGAAGTTGGACGAGGACATGTATCCGTGACCTCCGCAAGACATCCTGCACTGTTCCACTAGGCTGTTGGAGTCGCGACTGCTTATTGCCTTCAAGCAACAAGCTAGTGCGTGCAACTGAAACGAATTCATGAGAACGTGGAGGATGACAGCATTGAAGAATTAAAAGAAATATACAGAAAAGAAACAAATAATATACCTTTCAATTTTAAATAAATTTATCTATCTTATTATGAAGTTTAAACTCGCGCCATGATTAAAGACTGATAAAATGGCGAAGGTAAAGATTTTCTCTCCTCTCGTATATTATATTGTTACCAGGATTCCAACCCAGGAAAGAGGGCCAAAGAAAGCTGCAGGAACAGAATGCAGGAGCATTGCAATCTTTGAATTGTGGGAATAGATTATCAATAGGTACACAAGATGTTACAAAAACGAAAATATTAAAACAGTAGGTAACAGTGAGTAGTATATTAACTGCCGGCACTTCACTTGGCTGTTCGTATATTTTGTTATTTATTAATTTGAGAAGAGGTGATGATCAGAAATATAAATAGACACTTATTTTTCTTTTGTCAATTAAAAAATGACATAGATAAAGTAAGTCAAAGTTTAGAAGTACTAAGACATGGCGTCGTCGTGCGACATTTTTCAAATAAGCATATCTTCGTAATGTTAAGATTATGTGAATAAAGAAAAAAACAGGCGTCCAATACATTTTGATAATCTACTTATTAGACGAAGACGAAAATAAATATGTCAACATCCCTGTACTCAGTTCGGGTAACTGGTCGAGGTTCCCTTGGTCTAGGTCGTGCGTGAGGCTGGAGTAGGCGTCCCACAGCCAGCCGCCGGTGAGGCGCAGCGCGTGGCTCAATATATACTCACTTCGGGTAACCGGTCGAGGTTTCCTTGGTCTAGGTCGTGCGTGAGGCTGGAGTAGGCGTCCCACAGCCAGCCGCCGGTGAGGCGCAGCGCGTGGCTCAAAATATACTTACTTCGGGTAACTGGTCAAGGTTCCCTTGGTCCAGGTCGTGCGTGAGGCTGGAGTAGGCGTCCCACAGCCAGCCGCCGGTGAGGCGCAGCGCGTGGCTCAATATATACTCACTTCGGGTAACCGGTCGAGGTTTCCTTGGTCTAGGTCGTGCGTGAGACTGGAGTAGGCGCCCCACAGCCAGCCGCCGGTGAGGCGCAGCGCGTGGCTCAAAATATACTTACTTCGGGTAACTGGTCAAGGTTCCCTTGGTCCAGGTCGTGCGTGAGGCTGGAGTAGGCGTCCCACAGCCAGCTGCCGGTGAGGCGCAGCGCGTGGCTCAAAATATACTTACTTCGGGTAACTGGTCGAGGTTGCCTTGGTCTAGGTCGTGCGTGAGGCTGGAGTAGGCGTCCCACAGCCAGCCGCCGGTGAGGCGCAGCGCGTGGCTCAAAATATACTTACTTCGGGTAACTGGTCAAGGTTCCCTTGGTCCAGGTCGTGCGTGAGGCTGGAGTAGGCGTCCCACAGCCAGCCGCCGGTGAGGCGCAGCGCGTGGCTCGTCGCGATCGCTATGAACACTTTGTGCTGCTGCGTCACGTAGTCCAGGATCTGGGGTTCGGGTTGACTGGAACGAACATCATCACTTTATTTATATAATTGCACCCTTCATCATATCAAAATTTTAATGAATCAGAAAAATATCTTCAGCCTTTCCAACCTTAAAGTATCACGATGGCGCAGGTGGTTTTTGCGTTTGGCCTACGATCTTCAAGTTAAGCAACTTTCGCAATGATCGCTCATTAGAGGGGTGTCCAAAAACTTAATATCTTGAGCTCCTCTTGGTCCCGGCTGCATCTGCAGTCGTTAGCACCCACTAATCCGCACGGGGACCACATGGTACCCACCGTAACACCAGCCTATTCCATATATAGGGAAGGCCTGTGCCCCAGCAGTGGGGAAATTATTAGGCTGTGACGATTCTTACCGTGCTGACCTGAAAAATATCCGTTATCAGTAGAGCTATGAAACCACTCTTTACTTTAGTGTAATTACGTTGTAGTTATCTGTAAGGCGGAGGCTACGACTACTTCACTAGACAGGCGATTGTGAAATAACAGAAACTTTTGGAGGTGTTGTGTTTTTGTCGATGAGTAAGGTTCTAGGACTCTGCAAGGTAAAAGATGTGGTCAGGGTAATTGCCTACCCTGTGCAAGTAATAAGCGAGTATATAAATCTGAACAGGTGGTTGTTAAAAATTAAGCCGTAAATTTACGGCGGGAGACCTTGCACTGAGAAGAACCGGCAAGAAACTCAGCAAGGGCTATTTTTTTCAAACAGTGTCGTCATTTGAAAGCTGACATCAAAAATTGAAAACATGTGTTGATGTCAACTTCCATCACATTAATATTATTAATTAACAAAAGTTAAGCATAGCTAGGTACCAGGACAGCTCGTACGCGGCGTCGCTCACGATCGTCACACGCAACAGCATCATCGTGCCGTACGTCAGCTCGTCGCTCGTGGACTACAGTACTGCCGTCCTTGTTATACAATGATATACATAGTTACCCGGGCCGGGGCATGGACTGGCGGCGTACGGCGGAGTAGCGCGCGGCGATGGTGGCGGCGCGGGACAGCTCGTACGCGGCGTCGCTGACGATCATCACGCGCACCAGCATCATCGTGCCGTACGTCAGCTTGTCGCTCTTGGACTTCACGTACCTGCCGTCCTGCAAAGAACGGCGCTTGTAAGATCTTCATTTGGGCATTAATTCGTCTTCATCCTCAATCTATCGAAGTCCCCATTACTGGGTTATGTTATATGTATGAAATGGGGAGAACGCACAGCGTCGTCCTAATGCTTGTTAGTGGCTGCTCACGACTGCCAACATGCGTCTTCGTAGTTTTTTATTTAGAAATACTTTAGCACGCTGTACTAAAACTTGTAGATTTAGAATGCCATCCATGAATAAATGTTTGTTTCGCCTTTGTGGTGGTACCAGTATTTATTTAATACTGCCACAACAAGTTTGATTTGATCAATATTTCAAATTCTTAGTCGAGCTATATTATTATGTACATATTCCGAACACACCTTCAGCACTTGAGCGTTCCTCATCAACATGTTCTTTCTCGGTATCCTGAAGTGGTCGAAGCCGAGGAACCCATTGTTAGCCGTTTGAAAGCCCAGCTTGGGACCAATGTCACCTACTTTGATGCCGGGCAGAGGCATATGGGTCTCGCTGTCCCTGATCTGAACTAAGAACGCATGGACGCCGTAGCACTTTTCTCTACTGTACAGTTGCGCCACTACGATGCAGTGGTTAGCCGTTTGTCCTACTGTAAAAACAAATTAAGTGGTAATTGTAATTCTATCCTAATCTTGAAAGTCATGAAGTTTCGTTCGCAACGATTCAATTTTTGTTGTGGAGTATTTACAAAAAACGTTTATATTTCTACACCTCCAGTTAAATTTTCGTTTAAAAGTAAGTACGAGGTAGTTTGCGTGAAATCCGCATGATGATGATGAATAAATTAAGAAGACTAAACTTTGAAAGGATTTATTTTGGAAGCTATTGTGGGTTCCAATTCCAATCTTATATTGAAGAAAATTCAGTCTACTTTAAAATAGTCTTGAAAAGATACTATCAAAAACTTTTTAGTTAGTTGCGTTCGGCGTTCGAGGTCTCAAACTTGGACTATTCATTGGGCCAATTTAATAACCAAGACTGCAAAAAATCAGATCTACCGGATTTGAGGCACACTTTGTAGTATTTAATTTTACTGGACTATATGTCTAGATAGATAAACAGACAAATGAGAAAAATGTCAGATTAAAATAAATATTAATAGAATTAACTTTAAAAAAACACTTACATCCACCGGGCCACCACTTGTACGAAGTGAGTGTTGGACTGTGCAGCACAAACTCTTCAGTACTTGGGTCATATGTCGCCGTGGTCTCCAGACCTCGGAGGAATGTCCCGTGACCCAGTTCAGTCTGGAATTAAAAGTCATCATTACCATTAAAGGAAAGGAAACTGACATTCATCATCATCATCATCATCAAAAGCAAATTATTGTAATCATCTTCTTTTTCATAAGCCCAGGTTTACCCATTGGCGTGTATAATGAGCCTTTTGTGGTCTCTCCACGATTCCTCGCTACGTACAAACAGGTCTTTCCCAATATATTGATGATGTTGTCAGTTCATTTTGTTCATTCAACAAAATCAATAAATAAAATAGCGGAAATATCATAATCGATTAAAACACTACTTTTGCTGTGGGCAACATTTTCCCCCGACGGATACGCCATGGAGTCATGCAATCAATATCGTTAACTATTAATGCAATCAATATCGTTAACACTTAATTAATATTACATTTCTTGTCCCATAGAATAAGATGTTGATATTTTACGATAAATTCTAATAAATTGCATAATGAATTTTAGACATATTCTCATTCCTGTAACGGTAAGGCCAATTTCCGCCGGTCTCCTTAATTCAATTCAAAAATCATTTATTCAGTTTAGGCTTTTACAAGCACATGTGAAAGTCGAAAACTACGCCATCGGTTCGCAAAACTACGGTGGGAGACTTCGTACTGAGAAGAACCGGCAAGAAACTCAGCAATGGCTGCTTTTTTCTCCCTGTTTTATTTTATACAGTGTCGTAAAATTGAAAGCTGACTCCAAACTTGCAAACATGCGTTGAGGTCAACTTCCAACACATAATGTCAAACAGGTAACAATAGACAATTAACGAATTTACTAACAATAAGTGTAAAGAAAATTCCCAAGATAGTTCTAAGGCACCCAGTTTTAATATAATTTGAAAAATTATCTACAGGTAAAAATACAACCAGACCGTTTTATTATTCAAATATTGATTTACAGTATAATATCCTTTGTTAAGTAAGCAATTCTTAATTTGTAATTTAAATTTATAAAGAGGCAAATTAAGAATAACATTAGGAATCTTATTATAGAAATGTACACCTTGACCCATAAATGACTTATGAACCTTCTTTAAGTTAGTATCTTGAGTTTATTTTTATTCCTTGTATTAAAATAATGTATGTAACTGTGTTTGAGATAATAGTTAATAAATAAATTGTGAAGCAATAGTCAAAGAAATCCCGATCTCTAAGAGATGTTCTAGCACTAAGTTGATAAATTGCCCTTGTAGCTCTTTTTTGCAAGATAAATATAGTTTTAATATCGGCCGGTGTTCCCCAGAGAATAATACCATAGGATACAATACTATAAAAGTATTGTGGCGCTGCCTTGCAGCCTGAAGCTAGAGAAAATTCGGCAGGGCCGTCAGGGCCGCGGTAGCTAGCTAACTGACCATTGTCAGTGTATTCGCCCGGATAGCGAAGGGTGCGGGTTCGAGTCCCGTCTGCTGACTGGTCCGTGCGGATTTTTTTTTAGTAAACTTTTCTTTAGGTTTAAACATGTAGTTTAGTGCTTAAAAAATAAAAACATAACTATGAAAGTAACTAAAGTATACAGTTCTAGCAGTAGCTACATCAGTAATTTGTCTTATTTTACGTATGGCATAGGCTGCCGAATCAGTTAGCCTGCCGAATAATAGCAGAGAAATATGAGGATACCATTGCAATTTCGAGTCTATACCTAAGAATATCGTTGATTCAACTAAGTCTTGTTTTTATTATTTTCGTTTCTAACATTAGGTAAAGTGAATATAATGCATTTAGTTTTATTTGCATTTAATTTTAAGTTATTTACAGTAAACCAGTGCAATACTTGTGAGAGAGCATTATTTACACCGTCAAATTTATGCGTGTCTCGGTCCACCTTAAATAATAAACAGGTATCATCAGCAAACAATACGATCTCACACAATTTTTCCCCAACAAAAATTTCAAAACATTTATGTACATTAAAAATAGAAACGGACCTAATATCGATCCCTGGGGAACACCCATTTCACATAAGATCCAGAAGACTTAACACCATTTACCTCTACAATTTGAACTCTGGAACTAAGATACGATAGTAGCATGTTTTGGGCTGCGCCTTTGATTCCATAGTGATTTAATTTTAACGTTTAAGCGTCTGATGCTCAACGCAGTCAAACGCCCTAGATAAGGCACAAAATACTCCAAGAACATTCTGCGACTTCTCCCAGGCTTCCATTATATGTCTAATAAGTTAAACACCCGCATCCGTTGTTGATCTATTTCTAGTAAAGCCAAATTGATTATTATTTAACAGTTTGTTCAAACTGACATGCGATAATAATTGACCTAAAAATATGTTTTCGTAAATTTTACTTAATATCGATAATATTAATATAGGTCTGTAATTACCGGGATCATCTCTATTGCCGTTTTTAAAAAGAGGGATAACTTTACTATTTCATAAGGTCTGGGAAATCACCTTGATCAATCTAATTATTGCAAGATATGGAGCGATTATGTTATTATGCTTTTAACAATGTTCAGCGCATAGGTTGCCTTTCCACCCTCCTTCGGCCAGTTCTTGGTCTCCACTCAGCAATTTTAAGAGTCTATCGGCCGTCGTCTCTCCAGATCTAATGCCCCGCCTACTTTCATTTCAACATGGCCACCAGTATACTAACGTCGGTCATTTTAGTGCGCTCCCTAATTTCCATATTAGGGAAATCAAATTATCTGCAAGGGAGATATTCAGCATCGCACATTCCATCGCTCGTTGGGTTACCTGAAGTTTGCGCACGAGCTTGACCGTAAGTGTGTGTGTTCAGTCTATGCACCCTATGTAAGTAAAGGGAGGATAATACATAGGAATCTTCGTACGTGATGATTGGGGTGATATGAGTGGTGATTAGGGTAAAATGTGTGATAATGAGATTTTGGGAGATGAGTCCTAATTGGTGGGAGATATGTGATAATTGGGCGTAGAAATGGTTTCCAAGTTACAGCACCTGACTACTACATACTACTCACACTACGGAGATCATCAAACCTTATTTGTAGCTACGTGTAAATGTTGAAAAATAATACTTTTCAAACATGTTTTGGAGTTTAAATTGTTAAGTAGGTAATCGGGTTTTAAGTTTTTGACCTTTTAGATCGAATTAAGATTTTCAGTAGGTTAAGTAGATTTACCTGCGCATATGTGCCGATGATCTCTAGCATGAGTGCCTTATGCAGCCATTCCTCCTGCTGCTCGGCGGAAGCTTGTCCGAATATGGTGGGCACGAACATGCCCATGTGGAGTAAGACCGGAGACACCTCCTTCGCCATCGATAGCACCCGGTACATATTCGATGGCCTGGCGGACAATAAGAAAACATTAAGTGGCTATGTATGTTCGTAAATCCAAAGTAAGATCTGTATAATACATAGGGATTATACAAAAAGATAACAATTATTAAATTTGTATATGTCGTAAGATGATTTATTGAGTCGAATTTTCTCGACAATCCTATGGCGTTTGCAGAAACCCGGATAATAAAACAGTGGCGATGACGTTTCTCAGTTTTAATGAATAACGATAGGATTTTTGCGAGGACGCGAGCCACCTCAGTAAGATTTTGAAAAGAATCGTTGGCTTATTATCAATATTCTTAGGTTTTTGGATTCACAGTTCACACTAGGTTAAGTAAGCATTGGAGTGGCCCGGCGTCAACCACGCCGTCATGTCCGGCTGAGAGTCATCCCTATGGGTGGGTGGCACCCACGGGAGGTGGGTGGAGGAGACGCACGTAACCCCGTCGCCCGTTATACTTTTCTCCAAGTCAAAAAAAAAGGTTAGGTTAGTTTTGTGGAGTCGGTGGTCACATAGGGCCGGGACGTGACCGGGCGCAGCGGCAGAAAAAAAATCGTAAAAACAGTAAGATTGAGAAATACCATCGCCATTATCTAATTATCCGCGTTTTCGCCAAATCATTTAAGCAAATCATCCCACGATATATACAACAAGAAGGGAATAATATCTCCTAGATATTTATTATCAAGATTAAAATATTATCTTCCAATATTTTCCAATAGAGAGATAATTCGCTTTATTCGCAACTGGTTAAAAAAAATACGAAACTGGTTCCGAAAAGGGCTGAAGGGCATCATGGAGCCTTGGAACTTTACTTACCAACAGAAACAACACCGCGAATAGCTAAAATTATTTTAATGTAGTCTTCTGCAAGATGGCGTTTATTACTCCAGGCGAGTGCTCCGATTTGAAAGAAGCGAATAATGAAGATATATTTCGACATTATCATCAGCCTATTAATGTCCCCACTGCTTGTGCACATGTCTTCCGTATGAATGGAATAGGGAGTTTGGGCCATGACCCACAACGACGACGACTGCAGATGCAGCCGAGACCAACGGCTTAACGTGCCTTCCGAAGCACGAAGGAACTCGTGATAGAAGATTTTTGGTCACCCTTCCAATGACCAGTCGGTCATTTGCTGATCGATCACAGCCGAATGCGCTAACCACCAGCGCCATCGAGCTCCTCCAATACGACAGCATTATTAAAAAACTACATAAAGTCATCCACCTACTTAAAAGAATACAACTAACATAATCATTTATGTAATTAAGTACCAACGTAGCATTTTGATATGTTGACATGTGAAGATCAGCAGTTGGGTCAAGGTTTATTGCTCCAATGCAAAAACGCTTATGGCTTTTATGGGCTCTACATTGTTACAGAAAAGTCAAAGATCCACGTCATTAGGCTAATCTGTACTAATATTATAAAGCTGAAAAGTTTATTTGGTTGAACGAATGAGAAATTCATGTACATTGCATGAAAGACATTACTCGAATTCGGGCACCCGAAGCAGTATTTACAATGGAATACGGATTGGAAGACGGTGTCGAGTAAACAAAAGGAAATCTACACTGGAATAAGGATTGAAAGACGGTAAATACGGATTGGGAAAGGAAATCTACCTGAATACAGCGTGCTACGTTTGCTTACACTTAATCTTTTTTTTTATAGATAGGTCCGACAAATGACTCCACCCCACTTGAAATTAAGTGAAGGTGAAGTCCAGACGTGAAGATAGCTGATACAGCAGTTTTACCTGCCACACCAGCCATCCTCACCCTGCCGGCCTGCATGTTGCTTCTTCACGCCTCTTTTAAAGGATCCCAGGTTGTAAGAGACACGTGAGCGGGCAGAGCATTCCATTTACGGATAGTGCGACAAAGAAGTTTACCCGAATCCCATTGACAATCGTATTCGGGCTAACGACCAAATGTAATGACGCCGTAAGGCTACACAACATCACGCTGCGACCAATAGGAGCGGAGCATTGATGGTAAAAATGTTGCAAAAACAGGAATAAATATTCCATTTCAGACCTTCCGTAGCATATGCTGCGGTAATGATTAAGGTTACACGAAAAGCATGCAAGCATGGCGGAAGAGTTTCCCTTTAAAAATTCTATGACAAAACGTCCGCGACGGCATATGTCCGTATTTGAAGTTTGACTCACTACAACCATTGTCCTCAAATATGTAACAAACAAACATATATACAGAGGAGCTCGATGGCGCAAGTGGTTAGCGCGTTCGGCTGCGATCGATGAACTTAAGCAACTTTCGCAGTGGTCGGTCATTGGTTGGGTGACCAAAAATTACTATCTCGAGCTCCTCCGTGCTTTGGAAGACACGTTAAGACGTTGGTCCCGGTTGCATCAGCAGTCGTTAGCACCCATCAATCCGCACTGGGTCATGGCCCAATCTCCCTATTCCATCCATAAGGAAGGCCTGTGCCCCAGCAGTGGGGACATTAATAGGCTGATGATGATGATGAAACATACATAATTACACACTGTGTATACACATGTATAAAAGCTATACTTCGAAGACAGATATAATTTGCATATCCTTGACACAAAAGTCTAACTTCGGTGGTTTCCCTACTAAAATACGAATGGGAGGTAAACGAGAGATAGAATTCGATACTGAATTGTGTGCTAGCAAACCGTTTTTTTTTCTCAAATGTCTTAAAAACATACCTAAATGAAGAATTCAACAATAAGTGAGTATTTCTATCTCCGAATGCAAATGCATTGGGAGATATTTTGTCAAAAAACAAGGTTTATTGTTAAAATATAGATAACTGTGAAGAGTGGCCTGTTGGCAAAGCTGCATGAATATCAACCGCAGAACAATTAAAATATCTATGGCAACGTTGTAGTCCATCAAACCCGAATGTTTTAAGCGAGGAATTCCAAGAATGTATGATGACGTATGTATCAGATACAAAAAAAAATAGCTGAAATACGTGTAAACCAACATTAGCAAGGACGAAAAACTTCTGATTCTGCTTAGAAAATACCACTTAATGTTACAAGAATTTCCTGTTTGCAATGTGTCAAAATTATTTGGACAAGGTCAGCTTTTAAAATAATGTAAAAGACATTGAAGACGAAGTACCAAGAAATTTTAATTGTTTTTTTTTTATTTTAGGTAATCGCTTAAAATTGTTCCAAAATCAACTCTAAGGGAAATCAATGAAATTGAAAAATGCCAATAAAGAAATTTTACAGTGAAAATTAAATTGGCGAAGGCAGATATTCTTATTTTAAACATTTAAATACTAGACGTTTAAATCTAAACAAAATATTATTAGAAAATAAACCGCCAGTCCTTCGATTCGAATCGAGTTCTTCCGCTCGGATAGCGGATGCTGCGGGTTCGAATCCCGTCGTGTTAGTAAATGGTGTATTCAGTGCAACGGGATTTTTTCTTTAAATTTTATTATATTCTTTGCCAAAATTACTCTTTCTATCAATGGACTTACTTGTATGCATCGAAGGAACTGTGCCTGAGTACGTGCTCTTTGAGTAAATCGATGAGTATGCAGCCCTTCTTCACTGCGTTCTCATAACGTTCTTTATGACTTAGATAATCTTCCGGCACCTCATCATGCAACTCCTTAACATGAATCACCATGTCCTCTGCAAGAAAATACAGGTTCTAAAAAAATATAACTAGAAAAAATTCCACGCGGACCAGGCAGCAGACGGGACTCGAACCCGCACCCTTCGCAATCCGGGCGAATGCACTGACCAATTATGCTACCGCGGCCCTCACGGACCGCGTCGAAATTCTTCTAGCCATTCTTAAGCTGCAAGGCAGCGCCATCTCTTCGCATTATAAGTAACCCACAATGTCAAATGAATACTTTTACAAGTAAGCTTTAAAATAATAATAATATATATATATATATAAAATACAGGTTGTTTAAATACAGGCTAAGCCAAATGTGGGTCGACAGTAAAAAATATTTCATTTATGAAAACCTTTAAATTTATTTTTCAGTTTTCAAAGTTTCGGTAGTATCTTGATGACCCAAACAACTACTAAACAACTACCTAAAATTTCGGTAGTATTTTTCAAAAAAAATATTTTAATTGTACAAAAACCGCACAGATAAAACTGTTTGATTCCAAAACATATATTATGAAAGGGGGGAAAAAATAGGAATAGAGTCGTGTAGAGAGTGCGGAAAGAGAATGGGCGTGGCGAAAAACGGAACTAACATTAAGATTTTTATTTGGCAAAGAAACCCAGCAATCTGTAAAACGTCAAAGTTTTGTATTGATACGGATTTGTTTGTTGTTGTGATTTCCTGCGGTTTTTTGTATTTAATCAGTCTAAAAGGGGTAAAACCTTACAAATACGGTAGAAAAGCACTACAGCTCCCTCCAATCTAAATCCCATTCTCTTTCCGCACAGACTATATCAAAGAACGCACCAATGAGTTTTAACCTTTGCGTGTTAATGATTTTTATTATTTTACTTATATCCGTTTCCTAATTAGATTACTTTTTCTCCAATTTCTCACCCTTAAATGTGCATTTGTAATTATTGTAAGTAATTGTAAAAAATATTGAATTTAAATTAAAATTAATTTTCTTGTGTCTATAACGAAAACATCATCTTTATCCTTAAATTAAATCTGTTGGATAGACAAAGCGCATAAAATTCAAAATTCGTGTCAAAATCGTTTATTCAGTCTAGGCTGTTACAAGCACTTGTGAATGTCGAAAAGCTACGCCATCGGTTCGCAAATCTACGGCGGGAGACCTTGTACTGAGAAGAACCGGCAAGAAACTCAACAAGGGCTGTTTTTTTTCTCCCTGTATTATATACAGAGTCGTCAAATTGAAAAATGACTTCAATATGAGGTAACTCATAAACATATGTGAACTTGCCAAACTAGCCTTTATGTTATGTAGGTACTAGAAAAAATTAACTGACTCTTTATCCTTGATAAAGTCATTAGATTAAATAAAACTAGTTTTTACGGGTTAATGCACGAAACTTTATTTATTTATTGACGTTTCGCAGCCTTTTCAGGTCTGCATCGTCAGAATAGTCAGTCATTAGATTAGTTTCGTAGAGAAGATTAATCATAATGATCACAACGACATGTTTATTACACCGGTTAAATGTATTATGTTAGGGTTAAGTTCGGTTACATGGCTACTAATGAATCTTAGTACCTATTGTCAACTTAACGAAAATATCATAATCATTTACATCCTAACAAAGGTACGCCTCAAAATCACCATCCATGAAATTATGAAATAAAATATAATGAAATTATATGCTCATAGAAAAAGTCTAAGCAAAACTATTGTACGGTTTGGAACTTTTGAACGATTTATTCTATTATACATGGGCCAGGATTATTTTCCGGGGGGTACCTACATGGTGCATACGCATCTATATATATAAAACTCAAAGGTGACTGACTGACATAGTGATCTATCAACGCACAGCCCAAACCACTGGACGGATCGGGCTGAAAGGACATTGTTCAGCGTCCATACATAGTTAGCCTAAGAACCAACAATCATGAAATATTATTTTCTAGGTTCAAAATCGTAAGTAAATGACTGTAAAAACAAAGATTATTGACGGACACTTCTGAGAACTTAAATTATCAGGAAAACTAAAATTTTTTTGAGGTTATGTTTAATATTTAATGAAACATAGGTCAACCTATGAACTTAGTATGAAGTGAATTAATATTACAACTAATTAATTTTATTCGGTGCGATTTTAAAGAATAACTATTAGGAAAAACTTGGTTAGGTAGGAATCATGAATAAAATAAAAACTGTAGTTTTGCTTCTTATTTATTGACTATTTTTCACATAATTGTATCATAATATATATATTGTATTTATTTGTATATCACATGTATATTGTGTAATTATGCATCGTGAATGTGTATCAGGTGTTCTTGAATAATTTGGCACTATGATCCTCTCAGGATGTTGTGGCACAGGTTCACTAGCACTTGGTAATAAGGGCTCTGCTCTTTGGTAACATCGATGGCATATTAGATAGCCGAAATAGTTAAAGGAAAAACAATCGCAAATAAACACACACAACAGGTAATCTGAAACGAGAATGCACCTAACGGTATATTAATTATTATACTACTCTTTGGAATGCACGAATGCCACAGATTACTACAAATGCAAACTGCATGCACAACAACCACAGAGTAACGAGTTTTATGCCGGCCCTCCATTTGACAACAGTTTGTCCTTGTCATGCTTAATAAGGAATGAAAAGGACAGACTGATGTCATGTTTTAAAATAGCAAATACGAATTGCCAAGTGAAGTGCCGGCATTAGGAAGAAAGAGTGTTTTGTTTGCATCGCTGCCATAGATTGTACACATAAAATGGTATTTATTGTCTCAGATTATTTTTTAACTTTTAATTTAGCTTACCTAACGGGAAGTGTCCGTCACAATCTACATACTGATAATTATCGCAAAAAATATACTACGAATTATCATAGATGCCAAATTGGTGTTGGTTCTTAGGCCAATTTTAACATTGACCTTTGGCATGCAGGTAGATGTTATGACGTAGACATCCGCAGAAAGGATTTTAATCAATTCTACCCCCAAGGGGATAGAATAGGGAGTGAAATTTTGTATTAAACTTTTTCAATTTTAAACCGATCGGGCTGAGACTTTGCATGCAGGTATAAGAAGAATCATAGATGAATGTCATTGTATATAATACAAGCCTGAGAACAAAAACTGTAGTCTACACCGAAGCGAGGGCGGGCCACTAGTCCGATATAAAATATACAAGTAAAATAATGCAACGTCAAATATATCATGAGGAACTCGATGGCGCAAGTGCGAGTTCGGCTGCGATTGTTGAATTTAAGCAACTTTCGCAGTGGTCGGTCATTGGATGGGTGACCAAAAATCTTCTATCTCGAGTTCCTCCGTGCTTCGGAAGGCACGTTAAACCGTTGGTCCCGGCTGCATCTGCAGTCGTTAGCATCCGCCGATCCGCATTGAGCCCGCGTGGTGGGTCATGACCCTATCTCCCTATTCCATCCATAGGGAAGGCCTATGCCCCAGCAGTGGGGACATTAATAGGCTGATGATGATAAGATATATCATATTTATAATATCAGGAGCTTCCGAACAAAACGGTATAGTTACATAAAATTAAATTTTACAGGAGCTGTATAAAACTGAATAACATACCAACAGTGAGCTTTTGGCATGGTTTATAATTTATAAATTAAGTATTTTAACACTGTTTTAAGGTGTTTTGAATGAAAAATATTTAAGATTCAAATTCAACGGAACCGAAACCTTCGGACTGTAAAAAACTTTTGACCATATGCCTGCATTTTGATTGCTGTGTCACACAGTATAAATACAAATACAGTTATTTATAATAGGTGTAATTAAACATTTACATCTTAAATATCAAAGTAGTTAGGGCAGACTCATCTCCGCTGGCAGCACCCGTTCACGAGCATGACGCATGAACCAGCCATCGCTTCGCTCAACCATATTTTAGGGAACGTAACGACCCGCCTCACACGACACCACCGAAGAGACTTTTAAGAGAGCATGACTACCCATAACCACCTATATCAACCACAACATATTTACTTAAACTTAAAGTCATTTATCTGTAGGACACTGCAAACAATTACAAAACAAAAACAATGGAGAAATCATCACCACGCCGTTTTGTCATTCAAATCTTCTTAAAACCATGCGTTACGCGTATAAATTTCTATTGCGTACCAGCAAGATCTAGAACGAACTTTCGGGAAGTTCATAGCCACAAGGGAAAAATGCATAGTTCCTTCAGCATTAATTATAGCTATAATATGGCAGTCTTCAAAAGACGGGTAAACCTTTTCCTGTGACATATAGGTACACCAAAAACTCACCCACTTCTCTCCTATTGCGAGTTCCCTCCTCTCCTCCATCGATGAAGTTCGTTAACTCCTCTATATTGAAGGTATACCTGGCTCTCTCCCTCAGGAGATCTTCGTTCACCTTGTTCACCGCCATGACAACCTTTATGTTGTCACAGCGAACACTGGAACTTGACAACAGCGGCGGCTGCAAAATTTTGTGTAACTTTATATTTATACAAATTCTTTATTAATTATTCATTGACTCTTAATTATTCATCTTTACATAGTATAAAGGTCTTGTAGACATCAAAAATCAAAATCAAAAGTCATCCATTCGGTGTTGGCTGTTACAAACACTTGTGAAGGTCAAGAAGCTACGCCATCGTTCCGCAATACTTCGGCGGGAGACCTTGTACTGAGAAGAACCGGCCAGAAGCTCAACAAGGGCAAGTTCAAAAATGATTTCAGAGGTACTTCTGAAGTCACCTTCCATTACATCATTTAGAATAGAGATATGTAAAGTTACAATAAATATTATAGTTAACTTTATATTTAGCTTAAAGGAAGCGGCATTAAATACCATATTACTTGTTACGAAAAATGACTAATACCCGTCAAATAACAAAATGACAATAAAAACACTGTCCATGCATTACGATCATTTAGATAATGATCATCTTTATAATAGCCCTTATTCACATCGGCGTACCTAAGGGGGGGGGGGGGGGGGCGAAGGCTGCCGCCTCGTTCTGCGAATCGGTGATGGGGCAGTAGGAAGCCGCGGAGAGGGAGCGGGAGGAAGACGCTCTAGCCGCTCCACTTCGACGTAGACGGGTGGGCCGAAGAAGGCAGGCAGCCGTGACTGCCGGTCTTCGTCCTGAGGTGGTCTGGGCGCGGCTTGGTCGCCGCGTGCACTAGGTGCCACTTGGCATAGGCCACCCCGTCTGGGGATTGCCTAGTACCCTAGCGCAATCCCCCAGTAACGGCGTTGTAAACGGGGCCTTATGCTCTAACTCTTAAATAAACAGCGAATTTTGTCTCTTCAAAACAGAGAAACTTTGATCTTACGAACATGCAGTGAGCCTATACAAAGCGTTTGCAAGATGTCAGATGAGTCATTGGTGTCGATTCTGGCGTGATTTTAAAACTAAGTTTAACATCAATCTCTCCTTTTCATTCCGTATAGAGAATGACAAGGATACACTGTTGTCAAATTTAAGTTTAGGTTTAGAGAATCTTGTCAGAATTGACACCATTGTCTTACCAACGGATTCTTAATAAATTAAACTAACACGAGGTCTAGTGCGATTTCACATATTACACATAAAATAAAACCTTGGATTTCTAGCGGGGTTTTGCATTGTTTACGACATCGCAATAAACTTCAAACAATCCAGACAATTAAATAGCGCGAATAACGCAAGGATCCGTAACTCATTCTGTACCGATCTAGAGACCTGCAACATACGGACAGACGACAAAGTGACAGCAATAGGCTTTCATTTTTACCCTTTGGGTACAGAACCCTGAAAAGGTACAAACAAAGACACTGTCGATGTAAAAAAAAATATAAAAACCACAGAGATACTTAAAGACCCTTGTGTTGCTTGATATAGACACCAGAGGACTATGCAACAATACACAATCTGGTTAACATGGAATACCCAAGGAATTCCTTCTTGTCTTCGAAAATAAGCATGTCACTTACATTTTTAATTTATGTTTGGCTAGGGATTGTTACGTTAGAAACATTACTCCAGTTATGGAAACTAACTTACTAAAAAGCTTATTTCAAAGTTTCTGATTATATTACAGACAAAAATGCTTGGGTTTGAGCTGTTCCAGGGTTCCAATCACTCAACAGGTTTTCTATGTGAATTAAATCATAATATATAATGTAACAAAGTTTAAAAAAAAATGATTTTTAAACTTTGTTACATTATACTTTACATAGCTTTTTCGCTCGTTTTTCCCCGCAGCTAAAATATGTATATGTCCAATAACGAGTGGTAGGGAATTTTTTTTTTGGACGATTCAATAGAGTTGTACTAAACATTCAATTTGAATGTTGATTTCTGATTTCTATTTACTATTTTTCATTTAATAGACTCTGTAGAGTATGGTCCTCGGGGCTAAAGTGTGCCAGCCTTGGACAGACAAGAAAACAACGCTTCATTCAGGATTCTTACCATAATTCCAATATGGAGCCCAAGACATAATACACTGCTTCATCCCTTTGGTAGATAATCTACTATTAAATTACTTTCTTAATTTCAGCTGTGTTATTAATTAGATACAAATCTTTGTGTTTCCGTACACATATCTATTTAAACGCAGTGATATTTATGTTAGTGGTGTCGATTCTGGCGTGATTCTCTAAACTTAAAACTAAATTTAACATCAGTCTCTCCTTTTCATTCTGTATAGAGAAAGAATGACAACGATATACTGCTGTCAAATTTAAGTTTAGGTTTAGAGAATCATGCTTGAATCGACACCAGTATCCAGCTTAAAGATTTTTTTCCTTCAGTAACATATTCCAGTTGATTACTTTAAAAATAAATGCACACACTTACCTTATTACTCTCTGGATTAATGGAAAACACTACAGATAACACTGTACCTACTTAATTATTAACTCTCGGTTATAAACACTCTTATTTTCTAAACAAACCAAACAATCCGTTACGTGCTATACGCACCGCTTGTGTTTGGCAAGTAAGGAAGCTTGCGTAAACCTCTGAATGTTATCATGTGCATTATAAGGAAACTGGCGGAATTTGCGAGATTTTTATTTACTTACTAGCTGACCCAGCGAACTTCGTACCGCCATAAAAATAAGGGTTGGTGGCAGAGGGGTGAAAATTTTGGGTTGCAAGTATTTTTGTACGATGTATCATAAAAAAATAAAAACAAAAAATTGTGTCCAAAAAAATAAAAATAAAATTTAAGGGTGGACCACTTAGGGGGATGAAATATAGATGTTGTCCGATTCACAGAACTACTGAATATGCATATAAAATTTCAGGAAAATCGGTCGAGCCGTTTCGGAGTAGTTCAATTACGCACACCGTGACACGAGAATTTTATATATTAGATGGACTTAAAATAATTTTGATAAATTGTTGTTACCTCTTGAATCGCGCAGAGAATAGGGATGATGACGGGGTAAACTTGCAGCTAATTTGCTAAATCTCGATTTAACTAATGATAGGTTTAACCCATAGAAAATGTCAAAACGTCAATGTCAAATTGGCATTATTGTGTGGGCTAATTCAAGTATTAGTTAAACTGAGAGTTAGAAACTTTGTTGAAAAGCACTCCACCGTTATTACGGTCTCTCATCTATTGTCAACTTTTTATTTCAAGGATAATCTAACGCAGCTAAGTGGATACAACACAGTAGCTTCCCTATTCGAAAACTTCTTCCACCGAATACCTATAGTTACTACTAGTAGCCTCAGATCATGTTCAGTCAGTGCTGTTTCCCTCCTAAAATCAAGTGTAAAGAAGTTTAAAGAATCTTTTCATTTTAGACATATTATTGCTGAGACTACCCTCAATACTTTTAAATCACTTAATAATAAAATTAATATTTTATTTTATTTTATATATTTATTTATTTGTATTCAGGCGTCGTAGGCCCATAGAAATATATACCTTATAGTCTAACAAAGCTATATAATATAAAAGAATTACTTTGTGATCCAATTAAATCATACTTATACGTATCTGATCGAATTCAATAAGGCGTTATTAATAAAACTGAATCCATTGGAACGCCTTTGGTTATGGGCGTGCCTCAAGGATCAATATTAGGTCCTTTATTCTTTTTAATATATAAAAATGGCCTACCTTACTACACAAGCACCTTGTGTGAAACAGTACTATTTGCTGACAATACTTCGAAGTAAATAGTGCTCTTTCAAAAGGATTACAATGGTTAACAATAAAAATCTTTGGATGAATTCAAAGAAAACTGAATTTATTAAATTTTCTGTACCAAATGTAAGGCAGGCAGGCAGTTATACACCTATTATATATAAACGTATAAGTAGTATCTCTCGTTGAGATTCACACCAACATGCACACAACAGGACAAATTTTATAATTAGATAAATCCTTAAAAACAGGCAACAAATTAAATTTATACAACTACCTATACTATGTTATTTTCGTGTGCAGCAGCGACGCGAATGGGCGAAAACTCAGCGAAACATTTACTCAGAGAGTAAATCGCTGATTTTCAGTTCTGACCTTTATGGATGAGGTCTCGCATTTAAATATAACATTAAAATTCACAATTACATTAAACGAAATTTAAATATAATTAAATACGATAGTTAATTACACATTCATTGGATATATTATTATTATGGTATATTTACATAAAAAATATTTTTAGATAAATTAATGAGGGAGAAAATAGTTTCGGTGAAAATAAAATAAAAGCACACAACACCACACCGACACCCAAGATGATTCTAATAAAGATGTTTTCATATGTGTTTTAAAACTCTATCTGGGAGTAAAGAACACTCATGGCCGTCTTTAACCTATTGGAGGCCCTGGGCATATTAGGATAATGGGGCCCCTATGACTTTGATGTGGATTATGACTTGAAATGGAGCAAGTCATACAAATGATTTTTCTTTAAAATGTGTATGTGCTTAGTATACCATAATTTATCTAAGCATGCTGAAGTCGGAAAGCCTAATTTTTGGGCGAGAGTAGAATATCTTCGCTTATGTAAAGGCTAGTAAGTTGGTATTGTAGTCAGTCATTTAGGATCGATTTCATCGAATTATTATATAAGTTTTTTGGTAATAAATATTGGTTATCGTTTGGTGATCTAACAGGAACTAGGGACTTTGTATTTGATCTGAAGGGGGTCCCTATCGATCGCGGGGCCCTGGGCACTTGCCCAAAGTGCTCACTGGGAAAGACGGGTCTGAGAACACTTCTCTCATTGAAGTAAGCCTTCTCATTAAATTTTGAAGTAACTATGTAACACATCGCACATTGATATGAAGAGTTACACTAACCAAAAAAGTTATTTTTTCAGTAGAAGCATTTAAAGTTTTACTAAACAGTAATTACGACTTTTGCAATCGTGTTTAATGCTCTCTGCAATAGAAATTATAACATGATATTTGTTTTTATTTATTTTTAAGCATTGAACTGCTAGATGTTTAAATCTAAAGAAAAGTTTACTAGAAAAACATAACTATTATTGCTATTTCTTCTTTAAAATGTTTAATACTTGAAAAAGTATTCATTTCACATTGTGGGTTGCCTACAATGCGAAGAGATGGCTCTGCCTTGCAGCTTAAGGTTCGGAAAATTTCGACGCGGCCAATAGGGCCGTGGTAGCATAATGGTCAGTGCATTCGCCCGGATTGCGAAGGGTGCGGGTTCGAGTCCCGTCCGCTGCCTGGTCCGCGTGGATTTTTTTGTAGTGAACTTTTCTTTAGATTTAGACATGATATTTTTTTTTCTTTCTGGTGCAAAAGTCGTTATTACTGTTTGGTAAAACTTTAAATGCTTCTACTGAAAATATAGCTTTTTGGTTAGCGTCACTCTTCTTATCAGTGTGCGACATCATTAATGTATCTAATTAATTGTATTGGTAGCGACATAATTTTATGTAAATGTTGCTACTTCTGTTAATGCTGGTATGTTTCTTACATTGGACGATTCAAAAGCGCTTTTTGTATAAGTCAATATGATTAAAGTATAATTTCATTTCATTTCAATATATTACAAGCCTAAATAGAAGCGGAAAATGTTTTTAAAAGAGTTAAGAAGCATTTTAGTGTTACAGTCTGTGTGGAAAGAGAATGGGATTTAGATTGGGGGGCGATGTATTGCTTGTCTACCGTATTTGTAAGGTTTTACCCCTTTCAGACATGATTAAATACAAAAAACCGCAAGAAATCACAACAACAAACAAATCCGTATCAATACAAAACTTTGACGTTTTACAGATTGCTTTGTTTTCTTCCCAAAATAAAAATCTTAATGTTAGTTCCGTTTTTCGCCACGCCTATTCTCTTTCCGCTCAGACTCTTTGTATATAACCATTTATAAATAAAAATAAAATGTAAGCACATAACTTACGAAAGATTGTACTAAATTGAAAAATTATTTCTTTGTTGTACACCATTTTCTTTAAATTGGTTATAATTATCAAATAATTTTGGTTATAATTACTTTGTTTTTTTTTTAATTTATATTTAATTTTGACAATAGTTTGATATGCATTACGCCATTACACGACAAAATATCGCAATGATATTTGAAACAGCTAGCAAAACATATTTGGCAATTGTCAAAAACACGAATAAATGAGATCGTAAGTAAGATTGTATCTTACACATTCGACATGCTGTGTATCACATAAAGTTCTTTATGTATGTGATTTGGGGCCTGTTTCACAATCGCTGTCTAAAGTTTTCAATCAGCTACTTAGAACTTATCTGCTCAGTAAACAAATAGGGATGTCGACTTTGAAGTTGACAAGGCCTTTCCCTTGCTTTTAAAAGCTTTTCCAAAAAAAAACATCCCTATTCTTTACTGAGCAATTTGGCTTAATTAGAACTTTATTCAGCGATTGTGAAACAGGATAGAGTAAACTAGATAGATTTATCTAAATTTAAAAACTTAGGATAAAATATTACTCAAGTTGGTAGCAGTCTATCCTTTTCATCATCTATAAAGTCACATAGAAATAAGTAGTACCTAATTTGTGTTATTTGTGGGTAGGGTTGACACCTTTTTTTGTCGAATTAAAGTACATTTGGATATTAAAGGTAGAAAAAAAGTACATTGTGTCCAAAATAAAGTACTTTTTATTCCACTTTATTAGTAAGCTTAAAAATATATTCTACGTTGCTACCTAAGTAACTAGCAACTTCTACTAAATAATTTCTGTCTACTAAAAATCTGTAGTTCTTTTTAGCAATGGAAAAGGTCATGGTACAAAGCGATACAGCTACGAAAATGTTGCAATGTTGAATCAGCTAAGGGCGTCATATTCATACTGTCTATCTGTTTTACGCAAAAAATATTCATATCAACCTCTTTTTATATATTTTATGTAAAATTAATCCCTAAGTAATCAAATCACATTAAGTAAAGTATTTTCTTGTACTTTATTGTTAGCATAAATTATAGAGTATAATTACCAGAAATAACATACAATCTCTTATCTATTAGACAAGTCCGTCCGTCTGTCTGTGGTGCTGTTTCAGCGGCCAAACCGTAAGAGATAGATAAAGAGAATATTTAAGTTATAAGTTAAGAATAGTCTGATAAGACTACAAACCGGATTTGAGTAACGTAGCACTTCCGGTTTTCGAGAAATCAGGTTTTGGTGAACATTTGGTTCACTGGTTTGCTAGTACTTTATAATAAGGTACGGATGGCAACCCTATTTGTGGGATTGCTAAGCCATGTACCATGTTTTTTGCAAGTCCTCGATATTTCGGCGCTATTGCAAGCGCCATGACCACAGAATATATACACTACGCGAAAAGAAGCGACACTTAAGCATGTGTGCTCGTAAAATCGCCAGCGGCTATGTGTGGGTGTCTGGAGGTGACGCTGGAACTCTCGCGTACAGAGAGTGTCACCGCTGCGCCATGACGGAGTAACTGAATTACTTTATAATGGGGTTAGAAGTAACAATGAAACTTTGAAACCATATAAAAGAGATATACTAATGCTAAGTTATATAGGTTTAGATGATTAATGTCTGAAGCGTGTTAGTTCAAAATTTATCAAGTGACTGGGAGCGCATAATCACAACGAAGGACTGTAGAGTCGACTACTTGCAAATGCACGTCCTTCAACTCCCGTATCCCTTATGGTAGCCATACACACTACGAGAAATCGTTACGATTAGACTGTACAGTCCGAACGGTACCGATAAATCGTAGCGTGTATGTTATAAAACTGCACAGTTTCCCATACGTTCGCCACGTACGATAAACTGTTCCGTTCGAACTGTACAGTCTGATCGTAACGATTTCTTGTAGTGTGTATGGCTACCATTACACGTACACCGTTTTGAGGTGTCTCAGTAAATGCAAGCGCAGGATCGGCTGGCTTTGTCGTATATCTGGTTGTAAAGCAAGATATGGCATATTATTATGGTTACTAAATAAAAATGAAGGTACTTTTAAATGATTTTATTTACATACCTACTTTAATATGCCATGTGTCATATATTTCGAGTAGCAGGATATTTTTTTACGGTGTCGTAATAAAAAATACCAATTTTTCATAGATCTTTTCGATATCGATTCATACTAATTATATTGTTGGCGGACCTGGGTGTCTTTTATCTATTGTCCTTTTGACAAATGGTCCCTCGTCACTTAGTGTCGCCGCACACGGGCCACCGACTACAACCACAAAACGTCGCCAGCGGCATATTTCTTGTAGTTTTCATACATTTTATATGGACTCGCCACACGGTACGCCGGTGGCCGCCACATGCTACAAATCGTCGTTGCTCGGTTCTTATGGCCCGCTCCGGTACTCGTACTAATCGCGCGTACTTAACGCGCCGATACAAATCGCCGCCACACGTCACTCGCGCGATTCCCCACCCCTCTCTCCCTTACCTTAGTCGGCCGCTGTCGCGCGCTGCAGCCACTTTAGTAGCCGCTTCTAGCTTCTCGAAGCGGCGTTTGTGGCTGTGGCGTGTGGCCAGTGTGCGGCGACACTTAAAGGTTAAGAACCACTAGTTTACAGAATCTTGACAGAATCAGTCCCAGTGTGTCTGATGCTTCAACCATCACAGTTTCCCCTTCATGAACGGCTTCAGGTACTTGTGGAATGTTTGGTTGACTCTGTCTTCGTTGAGGGGACTCTTGAGAGCTTCCTGCATGAGCCGCTCGTACACTTGACCGTCGTAAGCCCCCAACGTTGACTGCAGCAGCTATTGAATGACAAGTTATTTATTTATTTATTTAATAAGAGTACAAAATAATATTATATACAAAGGAGCGCTACTTTTGTGCTATGTGTCCGTATTATGTGCTTTTACCAAAAGAAAATTAGGCTTTTTATTTAATTTTTATTTTTCCAATGACGATGAAAGATAATGAAACTTGCGGCTACCAGAAGCCGCTTGCATCCATAAGGCTGGGCCTCAGCTGTGGGGACATTAAAGTCTGATGATGAGGATACTATACCCACCTCGTCTCTGACGCCTAGCGCGTCTACTAGCGGCACGGGCAGCTGACTGTATCTATAGCGCTAGACCTCAACTGTGGGGACATTACAGTATGATGATGAGGACACTATACCCACCTCGTCTCTGATGCCTAGCGCGTCTACTAGCGGCATAGGCAGCTACTTGCATAAATAATTCTGCACCTCAGCAGTGGGGACATTACAGTATGATGATGAGGTCACTATACCCACCTCGTCTCTGAAGCCTAGCGCGTCTACTAGCGGCATAGGCAGCTACTTGCATCCATAATTCTGCACCTCAGCAGTGGGGACATTACAGTATGATGATGAGGTCACTATACCCACCTCGTCTCTGAAGCCTAGCGCGTCTAGTAGCGGCATGGGCAGCTACTTGCATCCATAATTCTGCGCCACAGCAGTGGGGACATTATAGTTTGATGATGAAGATACTATACCCACCTTGTCTCTGAAGCCTAGCGCGTCTACTAGCGGCATAGGCAGCTACTTGCATCCATAATTCTGCGCCTCAGCAGTGGGGACATTGCAGTCTGATGATGAAGCCTCTATACCCACCTCGTCTCTGATGCCTAGCGCGTCTACTAGCGGCACAGCGTGTGGCCGCAGCGATGATAAAAGCTGCTCGTAACGCGACTGCAAAGCTTCCGCATCGTCGCCACTTATGCACGTGTACTGAAATAAATGTAGTCAAACTGTCAATTAGACCAGTAATATCCAGCAGTGCTATTATATGAAAACAAACTGACTTTTCAACGCGCAATTTGCCGATGTAATTAGAAATTTATTTGAAATTTGTATTTTTTTAATCACTGTGGCACTGTGGTAGTGAAGCACTGTGGTACAATTACATGGTACTAAATCATGACCTACCTAAAGGCACTTTTTGTTGTAGTCCATACCGTCGTATTTTCTACGCAGCTAAAAATATTATGGGCTGTATCCGATAAGGGTAAAAATATTAGACGATTCAAGAGTTATGTTATGCAACCGATTAAAACAAAAAAAAATGTTGCCTAGATCCGAAGCGCATACTTCCATTTGTAATTAAAAATATTATGGATACACCTTTCACCGGTATAAGTTTTGTGTCAGTGGTTAATCTATAGTTAGTAGTGGGTGCATCATGAATGGTTTGCGCGAGAATAAATTAAATAAATTCAAAATTTACGACTTTAGTATCCAAAGATTGTTTTGGCCAACAAATTAATACTGTTAGAGGTAATACCGAACTTCATGCGATAAACCACCCCCCTATTGTTTAGGTCTTACTTTTGGCAGCACTTGCTGTCAAAATTAACTAACAGATATGAAGGGGGATTCCCCGCGTATGCACGAGCACGACTCATTCCGTGTATCCTAAACTTGTGATATGGATTTGCCTACTTAATAACTTCAATTCTAGAGTAAAACGAGTTTTATCTATAAAAATACCTTCATCAAATCCACCATTTTCTCTAGGGCCCAGTAGACAGCGTATAGCTCCAGCAACAGCTGCAACACGTGTCGCAGTGGAGGCGAGGCTTTAGCCAACCACTCGGAGATGCCTTCGAAGAAGAACGTCACTAGTATCACTCTACAATGGGCCTGAAATAAAAACAGTTTTTAAATTTCTCCCCTGCTGGAATAAAAACCTTGCGGAAAGAAGCTTTGGAGGGAGCGGGTTCGAGTCTCGTTTGCTGCCTGGTCGTGTGGTCTTATTTTCTAGTAAAATTTGCTTTGGATTTAAACTTGTTAAGCAGTTAAATGCTAAAATAATAAAATAAAAAAAAAACTTTTTTGTTAACACTTTCAGTTTATCATATTTTTATTTTAAGCATAACTGCTAGATTTATACCTTTCAAGAAAATTGACTAGAAATATCTTGAGTATTGGTACTTCTAATGCGACAAAAACCAAAAGGTTTCCGTCCTCTTAATTGGTGGGTGCTAATGAACAAATGCAGCCGGGACTAATAACGACTTAACATGTCTTCTGAAGCACGAATGAACTCGTATGTCTGTTCTGCCTGTGTTTTAGTCAGCCACAACGAAATTCGTCGAAATCAAGCAAACACTGCAGCTGAGTTCGCTAAATCTACAACCTTGAGTCCTTTGAAAGATGCGCAGAGAAGCAACGTCTAACGCGAGCTAAGCGGAAAAAAAACGTCGCTTGTCAATCTAACAACTGTGAACCCAACCTCAGCTGCTGCCTCCAGCTGTACAGAGGTCATATTCCATGCGTCCTCCAGCGCCATACCAGACTGTACTCTTTTTTCCATCACAGTGACGCATCCGGCAATCTTCCTGCAAGAGCATTCAAAAATATACTGAATTTTGTAAAAATAAGAGTGAAAAATCTTACAGAACTTGTAATCAAGAAAATTCTATTCCTTTATTTTATATCAATGGTTGCGACCCAGACAAGCAGGTATATCACTTTTAGTATTGTTCAAAAGACTAAATTGACTACGAAGCAATGAACATTATAGCCGAAATTAAATTGTCCATAGTAAGCTTGGAAGACAATACTTTCTGTATATGAATGTTAGCCTATTTAGATAGATAAATTAAACTACACTCAGAAAGTGAGAAGCTTCTAATAGTTTATGAGTTATTAGAAAACTATCTCCTGTAACACCTGGCAAATTTTGGTTGCGATATTATTCTGGCCAAGGCTCTACATTAACAACAGTTTGTTTCAAAAGTTATTCTTACTTGACGGCTACAACTTGCAGGCCGTGAATGATCCCTTCCACGCTGTTCTCCCATCGATCTAAGTATCGTGCAGCCGATGCAGGCTTCATGTACGACACCGTCGGAGTCAGGGAGCTGCTATCAATCTGCTGCCATGTTTTTACAAGGAACCTGCATGCGCCGTAATAAAATTTGATTATTAAATTTTTTGCACGTTGCATAACCAAGAAGTTATGAAGTTATAATGGGAACCGCTAGAAATAAATTAAGGTGGAAGACTGATGAAAGAATTGTTGTCCACTTTATAGGTGACAATATTCTCTAATAGTTTATTACTGTACTGCTTAAATTTGTTTGTTACAAGTTTGACGAGGGCATTCCGCCCCTGGTGGCAATTTTATAAGGGTTAAATTTTACTGTAAAAAAAATTGGTGTTCTGTAAAGTCGGTTTACGGACGATAATTTTACAAGACAGCGTGTCGTTCACTGTTTTCCTCGGGGCATTTCTGTGGGGCTTTTTGTTTTCGTTTGAGCCCAAGCACGCTTCTGTAGCTCTATGGGGGCCCAAGTTAGGCTCCGGGTGACATGACGTCACACTTTTTCGTTCGTGCAGCCGGTGTTTATCGATTAATAAGACATTACCATAAAAAAAACGAGAACTGCAGGTACCCGTGCTGCGTGACGGCTGTATGACTGCCTCACCTGGCGGTCTGCAGCAGCAGCACAGTGTTGTCCCTTTCGTAGGTGCAGGCGACGGTGGTGAAGGCCCCCAGCTGCGGCAGGTACGAGGACTGCAGGTACCCGTGCTGCGTGACGGCTGTATGACTGCCTCACCTGGCAGTCTGCAGCAGCAGCACAGTGTTGTCCCTTTCGTAGGTGCAGGCGACGGTGGTGAAGGCCCCCAGCTGCGGCAGGTACGAGGACTGCAGGTACCCGTGCTGCGTGACGGCTGTATGACTGCCTCACCTGGCAGTCTGCAGCAGCAGCACAGTGTTGTCCCTTTCGTAGGTGCAGGCGACGGTGGTGAAGGCCCCCAGCTGCGGTAGGTACGAGGACTGCAGGTACCCGTGCTGCGTGACGGCTGTATGACTGCCTCACCTGGCGGTCTGCAGCAGCAGCACGGTGTTGTCCCTTTCGTAGGTGCAGGCGACGGTGGTGAAGGCCCCCAGCTGCGGCAGGTACGAGGACTGCAGATACCCGTGCTGCGTGACGGCTGTATGACTGCCTCACCTGGCGGTCTGCAGTAGCAGCACGGTATTGTCCCCCTCGTAGGTGCAGGCGGCGGCGGTGAAAGCCCCCAGCTGCGGCAGGTACGAGGACTGCAGGTACCCTTGTCCGCCGCACGCGCGCCGCATGCGTTCCACGCCGCTCGCAGCATCCGATGTACCAACTGCCTTCAGGCAGCATGCTAGCGCGTGGAGCTAATAGTTAACATTTTATGAGTATTTAATAGTCCCAATAACTTAACAAACAATATTATTGAAGTGAAAACTTCTTTAGCGGCGTTGTAGGTACACTTTTTTTTGTATGGGTAAAAAATGTTAAACTCGCGTCAGGTTAAACACGTGAGCTGATCGCATCATGACACACAATAAAATTGGAAAGGTTGTTGACTTTCAATATATTGGACGAAACATAGTAATATTTTATTTTACCGTATTATAATAATTAGTCTACATCTAGAACGTCCACATGGCAGCTTTATTGCGAAGAAAATGCATTTTTTTACAATAGATGTCGTTAGGTACGCTTAATTGTGATTCATGTAAGTTGATTTCTTTACAATAGATGTCGCTAAGTGCGCTTAAACGTGATTCATGCAAGTTGATTTTTCTGAGAGATAAACTTTTTTAATGTGCAATAAATAAATATTGTATTCTACCACATACATGATAATACTTTTATACTGATAATTAAAGCAATTCGTGCAAAATTATTCCCTAACCATTCCAAAATATCAAAAATGCACAACGTTAATATTCAAGTTTTCACTTTAATCTAACTAATGATGTATGTTAAAATTTATTCTCCCATGTTTCCTGACTGACTTTCAATCTATAGGTCTGGTTGGTAATTGGAGGAGAGGACGTGACCATTATTTACTGCTTTCAGCTATGCCATATGCTTGCTATACAAGTACTAGTATTCTGTGTGCTTATGAACCACCCTTTTGATTTGAAAGATACAAAACAGATCCGTAAAAACAAATCACCTCCGCCAACCTCGTACAGTTTCCATTAGCCACTTCGTCGTTGACCTTGTAGTAAATCTCCCACTGCTTGTTGGCCACTATTCTGATGGCATAAGTCGAAGCTATATTTATGAAGAGTTTATGCTGATGAGTTGCGTAATCCAATATTTGCAGTTCTGGCCCCCTGAAAAGGACATTTCTTGTACAGCATTGGTTTGGCAGAGCACGAGTCAGAACTCAGTGCACCTAATTTATTGGCTACATACGTAATATCTTACATTAATCAAATCTCTACTACTTTATTTATTTAATGAAACGAGACAGTAAATAAAATTTTCTTTTTTTTTGCATGCTATTTCATCAACTGCCACAATTTTGTTTTAAGGTCTGACCTTATACAGGTCAGAGATCTTAACAAAATTTTGTTTCTGGAAAATAAAAATTATTAATTAAGAATTGAATTAATAAGAAGCATTTTTGCAGGCCGGCAAGGTGAGGATGATTGGTGTAGCAGTTTATAACTGCTGTACCGGCTATCTTCGCATTTGGACTTTATTACCACTTATCGTCAGGTGGTTAGTAGAGTCATTTGCCTACCTGTATATAAAAAAATATATGACAACGACCAAGATTGCCGAGGTCCGAGTCCGAGTCAAAAGGTAAGTTTAGTGCCGAGGTAGTGTAGTGAAATGTGACTACAGCGGAGCGAAGATTTCGATCACGGGGTGATTGATGCCTAGAAACCACTAGAGCCATTCGCTATTTCCCGGCTAATGGACCCCAACAGATCCCACCGCCACAAGCCTTGCTTTGAGTCAATGAGTCTCTTTTAAGTCCAAAATAAATACCAAAATTTCAATACTAGCTAGGTAAAAAAAATCTGATAACAAACTACATTATTAGGTAGGTAATTAAAAGAATTTCTGTAGTTGACAATGGTGTCTTAGACTTAGTCTTAGTAGTACGGCGGTCTGTTACCGCAACTCGACACCCAGTGCCTATTTTGCGTGGGGATTGGCATCAGTCCTGCCATCCCAGCTCCTCCAGAAAGCTCAGCAGTCCCCGGATGTTGCTGCAGGCTTCTACTAGTGTCTGCGGGGTTCCCATTAGAGAAGTCCTTTGTCTTGCAACGCCTCTGCACTCCAGCAGAACATGGGCGCTCGTCTCCTCCTCCTCTAGGCAGGCTCTGCACAGAGAGCTGTCAGAAATACCTATATTGACAATCATCATCAGCCTCTTAATGTCCCCACTGCTGGGGCACAGGCCTTCCCTATGGATGGAATAGGGAGATTGGGCCATGACCCACCACGCGGGGTGCTAACGACTGTAGGTGCAACCGGGACCAACGGCTTAACGTGCCATCTGAAGCACGGAGGAACTCGAGATAGAATTTTTTGGTCACCCATCCAATGACCGACCACTGCGAAAGTTGCTTAACTACAACGATCGCAGCCGAACGCGCTAACCACCTGCGCTATCGAGCTCCTCCTTATATATTGACAATGGTGTTAATAAATGTAGATTTCGTTTTTACCCTTTTATAACCGGTGTCTGTCGGCGCACAGCAGAATAGCGCGTGGCTATGGTGACAGCCTTCGACAGATGGTTCACCATGTCGCTTAGGATCAGCACCCTCACGAACACCATGGCCGCGTACAAAAGTTTCTGATTAGATGATTTAACGTATGTTCCATCCTGAAATTTTAACGATACTTATTTGTCTTTAAGACACTTGCGTGTATGCTCCTTTCTGCTTGCTGCCACTAGCGAGCCGTCTGAAAAACTGCGAAATAACTCGAAAGAAGCTTCTGAAAAGAATACACAATACATTCTCTTCTCTGTTGTACCCCAAGCACGAATTTTGGCAGATCCGTATTCGTATCGCCATCGTCAGTTTCTATGGAAGGAGCTAGTTTGCTCTTTACGTCCGGTAGGGGCCCTACTTAATTTAAATAAAAACTTTGACGATGGGATGCGATTACGGAGCTGTCCAAGGTCTTGCTTGGGGTACTGAATTGTATACGAAATTTTTAAATTAAATCTAATCGACCTGCGTGGCCGTGTGGTATGTACGCCGGGTTTCAAGGTGTCGCCAACTCGAGAGGTCCCGTGAGAATCCCGGTGGGGGCAGTTGTTTGTGTGATAATTAAGAACTTTTGTACTCCAGTCGCGGATGTTTAATCATGTATTTTTCTATATCAATATACTTATACAGAGTGTTACAAAAATACAAGTAAAGCTTGAAGGGCGTTGAAGTACATCATTATATGGAGTCTTCTCTAATTTTCTTAAAATATTTGCATGAAGTTTTATTTTTTTTAAAAACCAGTTATTTTTAATGATTTTGATAATTTTTTAAAAAGAAATTAAGGTTAAATTGATAGGTATGGTACTGCGCTCTCTGCTGGCTTGACACCCTAAAAGAAACATCCTGTATGTATATAGCTGAATACAAAGGTGACGCCAAGACCACCGCACTCGCCTCTCGACCTTTGGTGAATCGTAGAATTATTAATTACGTAGCGAAAGTGACTTATGATTAAGTAACCTGTTTAAGTATTTCTTATTTTATGTATTTTATAGTTTTTGACGTGACAACGTCTTAAATTAGGTTGCGGCTGGGAGTCACTTATGAAAAAGTGTAACGCTCGGTAACGTTACGATGAGTCTCTCGTGTTAAGTTTAAGTTTACATGTACAATGTTTTAGTAAACAAAATATATTTCTATAGTTAAAATTTGTGCAATTCTTATTTTCATTCAATTCCTTGTTCCTATTGTGCAATTTAATTATATTCATATCAATAAATATTCTACCGAGAAAAAGACGTTGTCACGTAAAATCTTCGCCCGTAAAACCGACTTTACAGGCAACCATTTTTTTTCTACTCCGCTTTTTTTAAATAAGCAAAATAAAAAAAATAATAAAGCTTGCAGTCGATTGACAAAATTTGGTTTTTAAACAAGGCCCATCAATAATGTTTACTTGCTGCTAAAGAAATATTTAACTTATGTAATAGGTATACTTATTAATTGATTCGGACCTCCAAAACCTGTGCGTGTTTCATCAGCATATGGCTTCTGGGAATTCTGACGTGTTCAAATCCTAAGAACCCGTTGTTAACGGGTTGCAAGCCCATTTTTGGCCCGATGTCCCCTAGTTTGATGCCGGGCAAGGTTTCATGGGTTTCCTCATCCCTGACCTGGACCATGAACCAGTGGATCCCGTGGCACTCGCCCTTGGTGTACAGCTGGGCAACCACGATGGAGTAATTAGCGGTATGGCCGACTGAGAAAAATAAAGATCATGTCTGGTAACAGCTTCGAAAGGCACCCTTTAAAAGAATTCTCGTTTGACAAATTTTAAGTATGCTTAAAATTATTCTAATTTTAGACTTTGGCCTATTAAACTAATAATACAGACTCTTTTGTGGTGAGTGCTCTGAGAATAGTTCGTGTTGACAGGAGTTCAGTTACCCATATAACATGGAAACACTGAAATCCACACGGTCCTTTCTCCCACGGACAATGAGTTCCCCTCCACAATGTTCCCTCAGTGATCAGTTCATTTTTTTGTGTTGGCCCATCAAACCTATCATCATCCGAACGGGATTAATCCCCATTCTTGAAATATAATTACATTGCTACTCACTTCCTCCTGGCCACCATTTGTACGAGGTAATAGTTGGACTGTGAAGCACAAATTCTTTAGTTGTGGCGTCGTATGTGGCTATGGTCTCTAATCCACGAATGAAAGTCCCGTGACCCAACTCCGTCTGTGAAAGGAAATTATCGCTAAATACTATTATTTTATCAATACCATTTTCCTTAGAAACCATGGAGAAGGTCATCAGAACTTTCTGATGACCAATGTCGTTGAAATCTATACTTATAATAAATCTGTAGAGAGGTCAATTCTGTACATGAAATATATTTTCAAAATAACTATCAGGGGATGATTAGTGATCGATACTGATGCCAAAAATGCAATCAGTAAAATTTTTGTCTGTCTGTCTGTGTGTTTGTTCCTTATAGAAACAAAAACTACTCGAGAGATTTTAACGAAACTTGGTACAATTATTCTTCATACTCCTGGGCAGGTTATAGTATACTTTTCATCACGCTACAATCAGTAGGAGCAGAGTAGTGAAGGGAAATGTTGGGAAAACGGGAGAAGTTACTCCATTTTTTAAGCTTCCGTCGCGTGTGCAGCCTTAATGATTAAAGTTACATAGAAATCATGTATGACGGAAATATTCTACATAAAATTGTCTAAAAAATATCCCGCAACAGCATATGTCTATCTTTTATGGTTGACTCACAATAACACGTGTAACTCCCGATAGCTTAGCAGTTCGGAGCATTCTGATCATATTTGTTTACTCTTACGTTTATAATACTCGGTATAGAAACACCAAACTTATACATGAAATAAGCCATCGCGCCGTCTCACGTGAATACTGAATCATGCTATAAGGATTATTTTTGTGTAACGGTTGCCGCGCTCGACACGGGTCGCGGCAGCGGTAGGGTATCAAAGGTCCGAGAGCGAGCTGTCTAAATCTGTTTTCTGCGTCGCTCCCCCCCTGGGGGACGATCGCTTCCCATGAAGCCTTAGAGGCCTTCCCGGCCAGAGGCAGCCCCTACGGGTGTTTTTTAGTCAGTACGAGTCTGACATAACCTTGCAGCCGGCTGTAGGGTATCCATGAGGATTTCTCATCTGCTCCCCCGCCTGGGAGACCGAAACCGTGCTTATTAGCGCGACTTTTAGTCTTTAAATAGTTTATTTGAATTTCTTTTGTTGTTATTTTGTAAAACAGGTATTAGTTGTTTTGGTAGTGTTTAAATATTCGTTCAAATTAAAAATTATTAAGCGTAGGTACTTTTATTAATTAAAGTAGTTATAAGTATTTATTTTTAAGTGAAGGAGGTATAGGTAGATAGTATTGCACAGGCGTTTCAGCTTTATTTTCATTTCTTTTTTGTTATGAGTTGTATATATTTTTGGTTATAATTCTATAAGAATATTTTAGTTCAAATAGTCACTTAGATTTTATGTGTAAGGTAGCTAAAGTTAGGACCACGTATTAGTTGTTTTGGTAGTGTTTAAATATTCGTTCAAAGTGTAATTTAATCATATAGGATGAATGTACGATGGCCCATCGAAAAGGAGTAGAAGCGGTAGACAGAACTTTAAGGGAAATAAGACAAAATGATCGACCACTGGGCGGTATCACAGTTTTATTTTGTGGTGATTTCCGACAAACCTTACCGGTAATACCACGGGGAACCCGAGCTGATGAGGTTAGGGCTTGCCTGAAAAGCTCTTATTTGTGGCGTGATATACAATCGGTGCATTTGACTATAAACATGCGAGTGAGAACTGTAGATAACCCGGATGATCGTGAATTTTCTGATATATTATTAAAGAAAATACCTTCACCAAAGATACCTATCCACTGCTACACCAAGGAAAACTTATTTTGACGCCTGAGTTATGTTGTATAGTGCAATCCCAACAACATCTTACATCGTCAGTTTACGGTGACGTAACAAATATATTAAATAAGAACAATTCTTGACTATGCGAAAGATCCATTTTAACTCCTCGCAATGACCAGGCATCTGAGATTAATAATAAAATACTGTCGAATATCCAGGGGAAAAGCAAAGTTTATAGTTCAATAAATAGAATGGCCGATGAACAAGAAGCCACTAATTACCCGATAGAATTTTTAAATTCTTTAAATATGCCCGTACTTCCTTCTCATGAAATTTGTTTAAAAATTGGCATTCCGATTATTCTGCTCCGAAATTTAAGACCACCACAAATTTGCAATGGAACTCGGCTTAAAGTAACCCAGTTGCAACAAAATGTAATCGAGGCTCAAATTTTAATAGGTTGCGGTGCAGGAGAAACCATCTTTATTCCCAGAATTCCCATAATACCAAATAATTTTCCATTCCAATTTAAAAGAACGCAATTCCCAGTATCGGTGTGTTATGCAATGACAATAAATAAGGCTCAAGGGCAGACCTTTCATGTTGTTGGAGTAGATCTCGGTGTCAGTTGTTTTTCACATGGTCAGTTATGTCGGTCTTTCCCGGGTTAGCAGTCCTAGAATTTTTTATGTTCACGTTCCGGACGGGTCAAATTTCAACGTAGTCTACCCGGAAGCTTTGCGCTGAAGTATTTTCATTCTATATGTACTTAAGACTCATGTGAAAGCGATCTAAACAATATTACCAATACATTAACATAATAACATACAAGGAGTTACACGCTGATGGTCTCGGGGCACAGTGATAATAATAATATTCTGCGGTTCCTTATTGCGATATTTTTAACAGTATTATATTTCCCTACTAAAATACGAAAGTTAATCTGTCTGTCACATCAAAACCACGGAACCCTGAGGAAGGACATATGCTACTTTTTTACGAAAAACGACGATAACGCGGACGAAGTCGCGGGCAAAAGCTAGTTATTAAATAAGAGAGGTACCTAATTAAATACAACGCGGTATTGATTGGTATTAATAAATACCTGATGACTACCTGAGCGTAACTACCGATGATTTTGCAGTCCCAAGCCTTGCTCAGCCAGTATTCCTGCTGTTCTGTGGTAGCTAGTGATAATATGGCGGGCATGAACATCATGTAGTGCAGCGCGAGGGGTGATCCGTCCCTGGTGTTGCCAGATCCCAGGAGACAATCGAGCACATCTCTGTTAACACAAACAAGAATAAACTTAGCCATACTAGGGGTTCAGACAGTTACATGCGTTTTTTACTAATTATAAGTAAATTTTTGCGTGGGAATAACTCCGAGCCTGGAGCGCGTTCTCCCAAAGATACCGCAAATAGTAATAATAAAGATAGCAGGCGCTGCGTGGTCTACCTATTCGAATCCAGATATACATATACCGAATTATAAATTTTGATAGAAAAATATTGGATTGTTGGACAGTGCATTCGCACGGAATATGAAAGGCACTGGTTCATATCGTCTGACACCAGGGCCGAGTGGAACTATTTCCAGTTAAATTTTCTTTACATAAGTATTAACATTAGGCATGTTACTTGTAATCGGTGATTTTGATCTTCCCCTCCCGTTGCATCTGGCGAATGTGTCCGAAAGTTATAATTGACTTCCTCATGCACTCCTCGTACTTGCCCTTGTGACTTAACAGATCTTCACACACACCCTGTTCAAATTCTCTTTTACTAACCATCAATTCCTCTGAAACAAAAACAATGAATTAAAAAAACGACGGGTTGCACTCCGCGAGTGCCAGTAGAAGTGAAAACTTGAATATTAACGTTGTGCATTTTTGATATTTTGGAATGGTTAGGGAATAATTTTGCACGAATTGATTTAATTATAATATCAGTATAAAAGTACTATCATGTACGTGGTAGAATACAATATTTATTTATTGCGCTATATTACACAAACATGACAATTTATATTACATTAAAAAGGTTATCTCTCAGAAAAATCAACTTACATGAATCACGTTTAAGCACACATAGCGACATCTATTGTAAAAAATGCATTTTCTTGGCAATAAAGCTGCCACGTGGACGTCCTAGATAGAGACTTATTATTATAATACGGTAAAATAAAATATTATTATGTTTCGTCCAATATATTGAAAGTCAACAACCTTTCCAATTTTATTGTGTGTCATGATGCGATCAGCCCACGTGCTTAACCTGACGCGGGTTTAACATTTTTTACCCATACAAAAAAAAGTCTACAACGCCGCTAAAGAAGTTTTCACATCAATAAAAGTATAAAAAAAGACCATTAGCTACAAACAATGTAGCTAATGGCTACTGATACACGACTGACAAAAAATAGTAATATATTTTCAAGGTTAATGTATGCAGGTAAGTTTGTATCAGCGTTTTAGTAGGGGGCTCCCCTACTAAAATCCTCTACAAGCGGGAAATTTAGTATTTACTCGACCCCTTATTTCGGTCGGGGGCAACCTTGGACCTTATAAAGTGCCTACTCCCACCATACCTGAGCCCTTTATGAAGGGGCGGACATCTAGGACAGCATGTAAAACTTTCAACAAACAGCCTTTTATTTGCGTCCAAATCGTCAGTCTTTTGAATAGAAGCTATTGGAGGCTTCACATAACATCCCTTCTCAATGTCTTACGCTCTATTTTTTTCCCCTTAGGGGTCATCCATAAATTACGTCGTATTTCATGATTGTTTTGCCCCACCCCCGTCCTTGTCACAGCTGGTCCCATTTGTGAGACTCCCCCCGTCCTTGTCACAGCTGGTCCCATTTGAGAGACTCCCCCCGTCCTTGTCACAGCTGGTCCCATTTGTGAGACTCCCCCGTCCTTGTCACAGCTGGTCCCATTTGTGAGACTCCCCCCGTCCTTGTCACAGCTGGTCCCATTTGTGAGACTCCCCCGTCCTTGTCACAGCTGGTCCCATTTGTGAGACTCCCCCCCACCCCCTAGCGTGACGTCAGATATTTTTCAAATTTACATTTAGAAACTATTGAATGAAAACAGCGTTTCCGAAATCAGTTTTCTTTCCATTTTTCACATCACATCCATGACTGGAGTACAAATGCTCGTATTCATCACACAAACATCTGCCCCCACCGGGATTCGAACCCGGGACCTCTCGAGTCGGCGACACCATGAAACCCTCCGTACAAACCACTCGACCACGGAGGTCGTCAAATTAAATTATTTTTGAAGTGAAACTTCTTTACGCACGCTTGACTTGGGGGGTATGCTGGCGAATGCGTTACGCGTTACGAAATGTGTGTTCGAGCAATGCGATCGGGATGCGTTGAGTGGGGGATATAAGCAAGAGAAAGCAGTGCGCGTATTATTAGAGAAAGTAACAAAACGAAAAAAAATAGCATTATATTTAAATTAAAGATACAAACTTAATAATCTCAAGTCCATGGACATAGAACCCACTTCTTTAAATTATTTATAACTGGCATTTAGAAATGTGACGTCACGAAATTTAGGACCCCTCCCACCCCCTTGTCACACGATGTCACACTTCACCGACCCCTCCCTCTTAATGTGTGACGTAATTTATGGATGGCCCCTTATATTTTATCCCCTACATATGGCCACGCCTACGCGACACCTATATTTATCGTTTTCCCTATTTACAATTGTTTGTCTTATATATCAGTACTACACTTAACAAATACCCAAACCTTACATTTTTCCGACATAAAAAGTGTCCTTTTTGTCTCAATCCAGTTGTAAGTCCAACTGTACCTATATGCTTGCTAAATGTAATAAAAATCCATTCAGTAGCTTTTGCAGGACTGAGTAACAATTAATATAATATATAAATTAAATTTTAAAAAGATTGTAGGATTCGACATACATTAATAAGCTTGACATTTGTGTTTAATATTATCAATTTCATTCGTAAATGTATGGCAAAATTCATCACATATTATTTTCATGGAAGACTCTTTTTTCATAAATTTTTCAATTGTCCTATCTACCGATGTTTTATTGTTCCCTAACCAATTTATATTTCTTAAGTCGCCCTTACAGTTTACTATACACTGCTTTCTATAATTATTCTTAGCTTTATTTATATGTTTATTTGTTAAATTTCTTCGTCTATTATATTCTAACCTACGTCTATTATTTTTAGGTTCAACTTTCCATAATCGAAACAGTGTATCTCTTTTTTCCATCATACTTTGCAGATCTTTGTTTACCCAAGACGAACATTTACGCACATGTGTTACAGGACGCTCATAACTACATTATTTGTATACTTGATTCCACCTGAACTAAATGATTGAGCAGTTTTTGATCCGACTTCAAAAATGAAGGACGTTCAGAATTTGTGGGATTTTTAAGTGGGAAGTTAGACCCTTTAAACAAACACATAATAAATTGCATTAATTTCCCGGATCGTATTTTTAGTAAACGTCGACACTTACTGCACGATTTCATTATATGGAATATAAGTTCAACTTGTGACGAGACGGTAACAGTCGAAGGTCACTGTTTCATTATCATATTTGTTTATTTATTTAAGTGGGTATTTCAAATAAAGCAGCGGTAATTACAGGTAGGCATAAGCAGTAGAACATTCCCCCACAATACTTCGCATTAGTTATGTAAACTTAAGTTCGCATCTTCAATATTAAAATAATTGTAAAGCTTGACTATCGTTGGCGTAGATGTAAGTTGAAGGAAATTAATTAAAAACACTAGTAATTAAGTTGTGTGTAAATGTAAATGAATAATAAGAGTGGCGAAATAACCCCTCCTTGGGGTATCCCATACTGAGCTCACGTTCATCAGAGGTTGAATCTGCGAGCTTCCTCAAAAATATAAACATAAATCGATCCACAAAAAAGTACAGAAAAATAGACCTTTAAGAAATTAAGAATAGCAAGAAGGAGGACAATACGATATAATTAAATGCATAGCTTAAAACTAGCAACTAAGCAACGAAAGAACAGTTCTGTTGTAAATTGAGAAACTTGCTTCTGGTCTATGTGCTCGAGAGCTTTGGAAAAAAGGTAAATACCTACTTCGTCATCAGTCTATTAATGACTGACCACGACTCAGGAGCATAATCCTATAACAAAATTCAAATAAAAAGGTTTGTTTCACCAAAATATAGCCCAACATACACAAAAATCAATACAACGAATATAGAACCTCCTTATTGTTTGGAGTCGGTTAACAAGTGTTTGGCTCACTATAAATTATTATTATCCTTAAAGTAAAAAGATTTTATAAATACAGAAACGCATTTCCTAGTTATATGAATGTCAATAAAAAACTTGTATTATTTATCGAAGATGTTAAAAATCGAAAGACCGGCCTTGAACCCAATGAAAACAAACAAATCAGAGCTATTATTATTAGCGCCTTGCCTCTTTCCTTTCGCTCTAGCATTTTGTCTTTGCCACCATCGAAGAGCGTTGTCAACTCGGTGATGTCGAAGGTGCATTTATCCCTTTCTCTTCGTAAATCTTCGTTGACTGTTCCCATTTTGCTGTTACTAAACTCACACAGAATATGATAATAGTTACTACGAAAACTACACTCTCCAGAGCGAGCTACACTCAACTGAGATATAAACAAGCCACGCACCGAAACACACGGTCATCGGTCCCACACTACCACAACAGTAGCACATAGCAGACTGTACGATTGTACATAACGTACGACAATTACCTACTAATTATAATGATCAGCGCTTGTGTATAGTACCACAGAGTTCTTTTATAAGCAGGGCGTCCCAAGGGTTTTATCACACGGAAGGAAAGTATATTAAATATTGAAGATAGGATATTTCACTGAAAGAAGACATCATTTTATTTTATTTTTAAATCGCCCGCCAAAACCGGGAATGTATCTCGTGAAATGTGAAATCAAAAAACACATGTATTTTATGATAACCGTCGAAAGTGTAAAATCATGAGGATTATTATTTCCTAAACAAAATAGCATTTTTAATGAAAGGAAGATCACGAAATTTGACTTTTTTTTAATAATTGAACACAAACTACAAGAAAAAGAAACGGTGCTTGGTTTGTATAAGTATCGCTTTATTATTTTTTACGTACTTATAGTAAGGAAATCTTGTATTATTAAGAGAGCAGGTACTAGTTATTAAATACTTTGAAATAATAACATACGCTGTTCAGGAAAATGTTACTGCTTCCACGTTTTTACGTGGAAGCAGTAACATTTTCCTGAACAAAATTTTAATTTCATGGTCTTCCTTTCATTAGCTGTTGGAAGTACCGAAAAGTAATAAGATTTTTTTCTGAACAAAATTGTAAATAGATGATCTTCCTTTCATTTAAAATTCTATGTTATTTAGGAAATAAGAATCCTTATGAACCTTACGAAACCTTTCGATGATTATCATAAAATAGTTCTTTATTTTTTCAAACTTTACAAGTTTGATTCCCATTTGTAGCAGGCGATTTTAAACAAATCTGTGAATGCAGTTCTTGTTATTATCAAAAATAAATGATGTCTTCTTTCAGTAAAATATCCTATATTCCATATTTAATACACCCTTGGTTGTTCCATACAAAACTAATGCGTAGTAGGTACATATTTCAACCTCTCATATTTGTAGCCAATTTATGTTTCTCATTTTTTCACTTAATACCAAAATTCACCATAATCGTATCAGCCGTTTGAAAGACACAATACGTCACACATCATCACCGAGTCACCGTCGGAGCCTGTTGGATCTTAGGATTTTTTGAGTTCTGAATAAATATGCATGTGAAGCCATCAGTCATGTCATATGAGTATTACACTGAAAAGATCTTTAGTGTTATGAGAGGTTCGCAGTAGTACGATCAGTGGCGGATTTGCCGCCTTGGCCGCCCTAGGCCCCGAGCCATCAGCCGCCCCTTTCTCAGCATCCACCAGAGTTTACATAATGAAATTACTTTAATACCAACATTTATCTAAATAGATGAAGAAAATTAGGAAAAAGAAATAGTTTTATTTCGCAAGAATAAGGTTCATAAGTAGTTACATTACAACTAATTATTTGCTCTAACATACTCTGCCAACTTGGTAGAATTAGTTATGATAACTTTTACATGAGTGTTATCGACTTTTAACATTTAAATTGCGAGTTAAATAATTGCATATCTAATTAAACACAATAAATTTGTACGGAGCTACTTGCAAGAACGGGTAGGTTGTGTGGGCAAAAGTAACTATAAGTTTACTAGAATAAATAAATAAATAATAATAGCTGCTAATTTCTAACAAGGTTTCAGGAATAATTGCACATTTAAATAAAATTTTAGGTTTTATCTATTTAACTACAGGTTAAGAGTAGGTACAAGATAAGATATAATAAGTGTTATACAATGTGTAGCAAAACTTGCCTGCACTTTAGTGCAGCATTATCATTAATAGCAGCGTTTTTACCTGAAATAAAACGCATATTAAACTACTTACCTAATTCGAAGCTTATTATGAGATAGGCACTTCCGTTTCCGTCGACTTTTGTCTCATTTGACCTACTCTTTTGGTTCACTTCCGGTGAACCTCCCGCCATCACCAGGGGTGGGGAGATGCGCTTACGTGTTGGCGCGCTCGCCATTTTGAATCATTGTGTCGAATTCACCAGGCAGTGCTGGAAAGTAAGCTTCGAATTAGGTAAGTAGTTTAATATGTGTTTTATTTCAGGTAAAAACGCTGCTATTAAACCACTTGACCGTAATTCGAAGCTTATTATGAGACGTGTTTGTTATCGCCTGGTGATGGAGTGTACGCCAATGTGAATAAAAAGGAATATTCAGAGAAATTAAAACCAAGACTTCATAATATAATCATTATAATTAGTTAAGCGATCAACATAACTTTGAATCATATAATTAGTGAATCAGATCATTGTACTGGATTAAATAAATTAGCAACCGATAAACTTGAATTTTCCGTATCGCCATCAGTCAGGACCTCACGCCGGTAGAAACGTTTGAATGTATTTGCAGACTTCCAATTACCGCGTGCCAGAATGTCTTCTAAGGGAAAGTTGTCCAACCAATTACGAGAAGCAACCGCTGAACGTACACTGCCTGGAGTGGCTAGAATATTTGCCTCTTTAAGTATCGTCCGAATCCATCCCGCAATAACCGTACGAGAAGCTGGCTTGGCCTCTCCTCGTAAGGTAATAAACAAACTATTGGAATCTGCCTTTTTACGTCTTTCGTCTAATAACGATATAACATTATCAATCCAAACCACTGGGTCAAGTTTAAGATTAGACGGATTTGAAAATAGTTTCCATCCAGACTGTCGTTGATCACGACTATCTGTTTTAGATTCAAATACGGGCCACAAAATTATTGAATTATCAGATCTGATACAATGCTTCGAATCTATATTAAGCAAAGTTAGGTCATGGATACGCCTACCAGAACACAGTAATAATATGATTGCTGCATGCCGTACAGTTTTAAAGACATTAGTAAAATCAAAAGAATAGGTAGACAAAAAGGTTAAAAGCATTTTTACATCCCAAACAGGAGGTTTGTCAGTTTTTGGGTTAGTCAGAGCTATTGACTTCATAATGTGCTTGACAAATACGTGAGAACTTAAATTATTTGAAGAGCTTGTATCACTAAGTGTTGAGACGACGGACTTATGTAACTGAATAGTGTTAAATGACAATTTATACTTCAAATGCAAATCCGCCAGAAACTTAGCTAGTTCAGAGGCGGATGGTTTTATAGCACTGATTCTATTTGTTTCACACCAAGACAACCAGCGATTCCAGGCAACTTTGTATGTTTTGAGTGTGGAGGAACGCCAAGAAGACTTTAAAAGCGATAACTGCTTGTCGTCCCATCCTTTTAAGTCTTTTGTCCACCCCCACATTTCCAAACCTCCAGAGTTATGTCCTCTATTCTCGCTGGTGGAAGGCCCGTCGACACGTCTATTAATTGTTGCTTCAGATTGTATAATGTGAACGGTGGCGCTAGGGCTCGGGCTTTTAGGTCTGCTCTCCAAAATACCTTTGTCCACCTGGGTACCACTATAAGGTATATCCCCGAGGCTTGGTTCAAATGAGCCAGTACTTTGGGAACTAGAAATGGCGGCGGGAATATCCATGCCAACAGATAATTCCAACGTACGCTGAACGCATCGTGTACCAATGCTTTCTGGTCTGTTATATCCAGGGTTCCGTAGTTTGAAAGAACATGAGCCTGTCTTGATGCGAACAGGTCTATTACCGGAGTTCCCCATTTCGCAAACACTTTTTCTACGCAACTGGGAAGCAGGTGCCACTCTGGAGATTTCTGAAGTCGGGACAGATGATCGGCGTGACCGTTGAAGATCCCAGGAATATGGTGTATGCGAAACTGAATTCGATGCTGATCCATAAGTTGTAAAATTTGGTATGTTATGTCCAGACAAGCAAGGGATTTCGTGCCCCCCTCTTTGCGTAAATATGAGACGACTGTCCGATTGTCGCATTGAATTAGCACCATACTTTCTTTGATTAAACCAGCATGCATTTGAACTACCTTCAGTATTGCTAACATTTCTTTTTGATTCGAATGCATTTTTCGTTCTTTCTCCGTCCATGCACCCGATAGTAGAAGATTGTTTAAACGTGCTCCCCACGCAAGATCTGACGCATCTGTTGTCAAAAAATGTGCTGGAGGATGTGTAACATACTGTATTGAGAACAATTCTGAATCCACCATATTAGTTCTACTTTGACCTCGGGCGGCAAAGGACAATGCCTCGTGGAATGCTTTGAGAAGGAATTCATGAATCTCAGAGTTCGCCGATGATTGAGTCTGCCCCGGGGTATGACAAAACTGGCAAAATTGAAAAGACCTACTATTTTTTGCAAGTCTTTTAGGTTGGCCGATCCTTTTCGTAGTAACTGATTGCTTTTTTCCCTGATGGTGACCGATTTCTCTTTTGGTAATGACATCAGATTGGTCCATGGATCCCAAAGCACACCGAGGTAAGTAATGCTTTTTTGTGGAGTTAATATCTACTTTTCTGTGTTTATGCACCATCTCAGAACTTTCAGAACCTCTATCAGATTTTTTACCTGTTTTTGCAAGATCGACGCATTTTGATTTACAATCAAAAGGTCGTCTAAATATACCAGGATCCTTACTGATCTTTCTCGCATGTATTGCGCAATCCAATTCGTGAGAGTAGCAAAAACCTTTGGTGCTGTGCAAAGACCGAAAGGTAAGCATGTTATTTCGAGTAGTTCCCCCTCGTAAACTACTCGCAAGAATCTTCTGTGAGATTTGGCAACAGGCAGATGAAAATATGCTTGGAAGAGGTCTACCTTGCATAACCAGTCCTTGGGTTGCAGAAAGTCTGGTATTCTGTGCATATTTATCAAACGGAAACGATTGGTCAGCACGTATTGGTTTAGCCTCTTCAAGTTGAAGATGGGTCTGGAAGTCCCATCGCTTTTGGGGACCAGAAACATCGGTGAGACAAAACTTGGGGATGGCTTTACTGCAGTCAGTACACCTTGAGTTTTCAATTTGTCTATAATTGCAGACATTTCTTTTGAAGGTATGGTTTGATGTGGAGTTTCGTGAACATTGACAGTGATTAAGGGTGGTACTTGAGCAAAGGGTATGCGGTATCCTTTTATTAAACTACTTGACCGTCACTGAAAGCTTTATATTGAGATAGCACTTCCGTTTCCCGTCGA